CCTCTTCCTAGAGCCAAGTAAGTAAGACTTAGGTGTGTTCGTATTTCTTATTTCTAAAACAGTTTGCCATGTGCGAAATGCTATTTCTACAAAGAATTGGATATTTCAGGACTGATAAGCGTGAGAAAGGAGAGGATAGTTTTTCAAGACCAATTATCACAAAGGAGAAGCTAAAGTGATTTTTGACGGCATTTATATTAAACAAATAGAGTGGCGCTTGGGAACGCTGGGTCTGGAGCTGACCAGAAGAAGCTGCACTCTGAACAGCGAGTTGCTCTCCGAAGAGAAAAGGGGGCTCCCAGGTGCAGAGGCCCGTACGCACGGATAAAGGGGGCAACCAGGATGAGACTGGGAAACCGAACGTTCTGAAACACGGGGTGTGTGGTCTGCTGGGGTGGGGAGCTAAGTCAGGAACGACCAAACAGTCAATTTGTGAAAAGATGAGTCACCCACAGACATGCCAGCTAAAATCTATGAAATTATCAGCAATAAAAAGTAAAAGAACAGCCTTCAGTCCTTCAGGCTTTTTCGTTGTGTTTGGTCTGTCCGGGTCCCATCAGGATGGATGATAAAGCTGCTGCCCAGTGTTTTGTTTTCCTCCAATTGTGGATTTTAGTTTTGTTCATTAAAATATGCTTGGGTATTTTCTCCACTCCACACCGTTAGTCCTCAGAACACTGTTCATACAAGGAAAGTAATGATACCGGTACTGTAAGGTCCAATTCATGTTTCTAAAACCAAAGCCTTAAAGTCTAAATCTGAGACCAGCGACATGAGGAGTGCTCCATCTGGGCCCAGACTTGATGCCAGCGAACATTGGAGCCCTTGCTCTGTACTTCGTGTAGGTCCCTGCGCCTGCGGGTTGAGTGGTTCACATGGAAACACTGTGGGGGCCGTGTGGGGAGTTCTCTGACAGTGCCGGTCACAGGGTCCTCGTGGAAACCCAGGGAGGGGGCACTTACTTCAGGTGAAATGTTGACAGGCACTGAGGTGTTATGGTCAAGGAAAGCTTCCTACAGAAAAATATCCTGAGTCTTTTTTTCTTTTTTTTTTTTTTAGAGAGGGGAAGGGAAGGAGAAAGAGGGAGAGAAACATCAATGTGTGGTTGCCTCATGTGTGCCCCCTACTGGGGACCTGGCCTGCAACCCAGGCATGTGCCCTGACTGGGAATCAAACTGGTGACCCTTTGGGTTTACAGGCCAGCACTCATCCACTGAGCCACACCAGCCAGGGCTAAAATATCCTGAGTCTTGAAGGGTGAGGAGAAAGAAATTAGCCAGGGCAAAAGGAGTTCCAGTCACAAGAGATCAAAAGGAGAGCTGGAATTAATGACACCATAGTCAAATGGGAGGTAGGCTGTAGTTTTGGAAAGATGGGAGGGAGTGGGTCATGGGCGATTTTGTTTGTCCTGGGAAGGGCAGTGTGAAGACCTTGGGAAAGGATGGACCAGAGGCCAGCAGATACAGGATGCCCCGGGTCTAAGAGTGTGTGCAGAGAATATGGAGTTTAAAACAGTAAAGCCAATTGTTCATAAAACTGAAGGTGATATCTTAAAAAGTACAAAAGTAACTCTTAGAAAGCATTCTCACATCAAGACCAGTACCTCCACCCTAACCAGGTAGCTCAGTTGGGTAGAGTTGTTCTATTATGCCAAGGCTGCAGGTTCACTCCCTGGTCAGGGCACATATAAGAATCAACCAGTGACTGCATAAGTAAATAGAACAACAAATCTATGTCTGTCTGTCTGTCTCTCAAATCAATAATAAAGACCAGTATCCAAAGTCAGATGAATGTGGAAAATACTGTAAACTCTGATGTCCTATAATTTGGAGTATGCAGATTAAGATGGGTTAGGTGAGACGTTCAATTAGTATGTCTTAAACTGGTGAAGGGCCAAGGTTTCTGGTTACCTCTTCCACCCAGGACTTTGTAAAGCACAATGAAAATGCTGCAGCAGTCACGCTGTGGGCTCCTCCCGTTCTTGGCCCGTTGCTGACAGCCAGCCCTTGGACCACACCTGGAGCAGCACTGTGTTAACCACTCAGGTGAGGGTTGCTTCCCAAACTAAAGCTGATTATTTAATAAACTTTCACAGTTGCATTTTGTTCACCATAGTATATGCTTTTCCATAATTAAAAATTTACAGTCTGGTATGCCCTTGTATAGCTGCTGGAATAGTACCAATTTGTTGAAACACAAGCTTCAAATCTTGGGAGACTGGTTAGATCAAGATTCCAGGATGGAAAGAGACATGCCCACTGGGTCAACTTAGACAAGAGAACAGCTCCAGTTGCAGACCTTGGGGTGCTAGATAGACTCAGAGCTGGAATGGCAGCCCCGGGGTACAAGAGGCCTGGGAGGAGGAGCCTGGCTGGTGTCCTGCCCTGGTGCTTCAGTCTTGGGCAAGTGGGCAGAGCAGGGCGGGGCCTCAGGTTCATCTGGCTCCAGTAATACGGAGGGCTTTAAAAAATTATGTGTGATGGTTTATTAGTTCTCCTGAACTTGAAGCTCTTCCCAAACTTCAGCAACTTTTCTCCTGCATAAGGGAAAAGCCCTCCCCATGAAACATGCATAGTTTTGTGACAGTCTACCTCTGGTTCTGATGTTATCTTGAAGTGGTTTTCCTCTTAATGCATGAAAGCACAGGTCACCTCGATCACATGGATCACTGAGCTACAGAGGTGTCTTTAGACCCCAAACTGAAATTGGGGCAACCGGAAGGGAGACTGTAAGGGTGAATTCTCCAAACTGTAAAAAGGTCAGGTCACGTGGAAGTCCACCCATAGCTAAGAGGCAAGATACAAATGGGGATGCACATGCAGGATGTCTAAATATTTAGGTTAGTGACCAAACTAACAAAGTATGATGTGACAAATGTACTTTCATAACAAAATTAAAAGTGTTAAACTATGTTTTTTTAAATAGGAATTCAAGTCAAAATATTTAATTGAAATAATTCTGTTATTGACCATGTGAAGTATTCTATTGATTGGCCAGTATCATTTGGATAAGTAATGAAGATATGCACAACATTATTATATATTTATTTTTAAAAAATGTATCTTGATTTTATTTCTAGAAAAGAATAAATACATGCATTAGTTCCTGGGGTTGCTATAACAAATGAACACAAATTCAGTGGCTTAAAATAACAGAAATTCATTTACTCACTGTTCTGGAGACCAAAAGTCCAAAATCAAGGTGTTGGCGAGGCTGCACTCCCTCTGAAGGCTCAAGGGGAGGATCCATTTTCTACCTCTTCCAGCTTCTGGTGGCTGCTGGCATTCCTTGGCTTGTGGATGCATGGCTCCAACCTCTGCCACCATCTTCACATAACCCCCCTGTGTGGCTGTGCATCACTCCTGGGAAATAACAATTATTCAAGAATCTTTCGCATTCATGCTGAGGGGGAGCATCTGCAACTCAAATCCTTCCTGTATTTTTAATTCCTCAGTGCCTGCTTCCCACATCACCTGCTGCACAACCCACAAAGCTTTTACAGCATTTGGACTCAGACGCCTTTTGTTTCAAGGACCTAGATAGGTTTGGAGATGCCTTTTCTCTGGAGTTTGAACCATGTAAATCAAGAAAGCAGCTGTTCAAGGTCACCCTGTGTCATTGGATCTTAAGTGACAGGAACACCCAGGTTTTCTTTGGTTTACTGATATATGGAGGTCTTTAAAGCATATCCTTCAGGGCAGGTTCTACACATCCAAGAAGTAGGGCAGGATGGGTCAAGCCCCATTGTGTGAGCCTTAGTGGCATTGTCCCTGGCAACCACCGTGATTTCACTCATATGTGGAACGGACCAACAAAACAGAAACAGACTCATGGGTTCAGGTAACAGACTTATGGCTGCCAGAAGGGAGGGGGTGGGGACTGGGTGAAAAACGTGTAGGGATTGAGAAGTACAGATTGGTAGTTACAGAGTAGTCATGGGGGATGTAAAGCGCAGCTCAGGAAATATAGTCAAGAACATTGTAATAGCTATGTATGGTGCCAGTTGGGTACTGGCAATATCGCGGGGAACACTCTGTAAGATATGTGGCTGTCTAACTACTATGTTGTGCACCCGAAACTAATACAAAGTAATATTGAATGTAAACTGTAATTGAAAAAAAAAATGTTTCCCTTCCTTCTTGAAGCGGGGTCCTGGGCTTTCAGAAATGCATTGCCCTTAATTACTCCACGAATCCTGCGTGGTCAGAGTTACCCTGCAGCTTTTCCCGACAGTGTATGGCATGTTTACAGTGCAGGCTTCAAGCCCACGGGGGCACAGTCCCGCCTGCCATGTCCGGGTTTCTGGAGCTTGGTTTTCACCTAGAGCTACGGTGAAGACTAAAGACGCCCTGTGTCCAGCAGCAGGCACGCAGGGTAGCAGGTTTCTGCAGCGTTCAGTCTATCCTCCAAAAACTTCCCTCCATTAGTTGCCGAGCCAGATGTCCCACTCGGTCATAAGTTATCTTACTGGCAGCGTCAAAACCAGATAGATATTTTACTTACACTTTAATTCATTCAAAGAATAAAGGCATTTTCTTTGCTGCAGGGTTCTTAACCTGGGGTTCACGGACTCCTCCGCATAGGGTCTCTGACTTCCTTAAATGGTACCCAAATATCGGTAGTAAGGGTCCGAGTGCATTTTGCGGAAAGAAGTACGTCTTTCAACAGGTACTTAGGAGAGTTCAGGCCTAAAAAAGGTTTAGGAATCAAAGCGGTAAACCTTCCAAAGAAACCGCGGTCGGGCAAGATCGCTGCTAGGAGCAGCATTTAACGCGAGTCCTCTATGGTCTGTAGCTAAGGTTTCCAGACCCTCTACGAATTTTACAATTGGCCGCAGCCGCCCCTTGGGGCGGGGCTGAGGTCAGCCACCCCCCTGCAGCCCCGCCCACTTCCCCCGCTCAGGGCGGGGCATCTCCACCCGGCCTACACAGTATCACGGACTTGGGTTGGTTTTCTAGGCGGAAGCCGGTGCTGAGTCCCTGTTTTTCCCAGGATGCACCGGGCTGCTGTCATGGCCGCCCCCTTGGGCCGGTATCCGCACATGAGGTTCTAGAGCTTTGGGTGTATCCGCAGAATTTTCGCCACTAGACTTTGGCGTCTCTGAACCCTCCTCCTTCCACTTTCTTTTGAGACTCCTGTGTAACCCTTTTGGGGGCCGGTTTTGGCTGGGGTGATGTCCGGGGTGATGTGGACCCCGGAGCTGGCAGTTCTGAGGGGCTTCACCACTGATGCTGAGCGGCAGCAATGGAAGCAGGAGGGAGTCGCTGGCTCAGGTGAGAGAGGCGCACTCGCCAGACTCTTAGGCTAGCGTAGGGACTGTAAGAAGGGGTGGCGGTGTCTGCGTTCTTATCCTTGCTTTTATTTTTTCCCACCAAAATCTGGCTGATGTCTTAAAGCTCTGGGTTGTATCCTTGACGTGGTGGGCGTGGTCGGCGTGGTCCTCTGGCTCTGTGCCTGTGCCTACCCCCGACCTCTCACAGCTTGGCATGAAGTAATAATGGCAATGTCAGTTTATTAAATAAATGTTTTTAAAATATTTCTTTAGTCGTTTAATCCTTACAGTAGACACCTGAGGTAGTTGCTACCCTTAATTCCAATTTGCAGATGAAGACATTTAACTACTGATTGGTTAAGCAATTTATTCCAGGTCGCACAGCTGGTAAGCAGAAAAGCTGAAACGAGGCAGTTAAGAAGTAATTCCTGTGAGCCATGCACATTTACCGGATAAAGAATTAAAAGGCAGCCCTGGCTGGCATAGCTCAGTGGATTGAGCTCGGGCTGTGAACCAAAGTGTTGCAGGTTCAATTCCCAGTCAGGGTACATGCCTGGGTTGTAGGCCATGACCCCCAGCGACCGCACATTGATGTTTCTCTCTCTTTCTCCCTCCCTTCCCTAAAAAATAAATAAATAAAATCTTTTTAAAAAAAGAATTAAAAGGCACATTTACTAGTGGGATACAGGCACATCTGATTGTGGGGTTAGGCTGGACACAGAAGAGAAATGTTTAGGACAGCTTGTAAGTGCTGTGTGTATGTGCACACAATAGGGGCTTCAGGATAGGTAGTTTCGGAAGTCCGGTGGTCTGGAAAAGTTTCCTGGAAGAAGTCAGACTTGAGCTGATATCTTCCTTTTTTTTCCTCTCAATTATTTATTTATTTATTTTTAGAGAGAGAGAAAGAGGGGCAGGGAAGGCGAAAGAGAGGGGAGAAGCATCATTGTGAGAGAGAAACGGATTGGTTACCTCTGGCTTGCGCCCCAACCAGGGACCTAACCGCAACCCAGGCATGTGCGGTGACTTGGAATGGAACCAGCGCACTACCGCTTTGCGGGGCGATGCCTAAACAACTGAGCCACAGGGGTCAGGACTAATTTCTGATTAAAGAATAAGACTGACAAGTGGAGAAGAGCTCAGCAGTAGAAATCAAAATTATAAAAGTGTGGGGGCAGACATGTGCATGAGATACTAGGGAAACAGTGAGTGAACCAGCTTTCCATCTGGGAGTGTAGTGGGGTGTAGGAGGAGCCGGACTGTGAAATGTCTAGAACTCTGACCGTGGGAATTTTTCTGTTGCCATTAGGAATCTTTTTGAATTTCCAGCAGAAGGGTGAGAATACTTACTAGTGAAAAATATATTCCTGAGTCTAACTTCTACCTTACTACTCATCATACAGATGCCCTGCTAATTCCAGGAGAAGTGATACTTGTAGAATGATGGGAATTCGTTCATTGCTTTTTAGTTAATGTATAACAAGTATTCCAAATATGCACTTTTTATATACTAAAATGATACATGTACCTAATAGTGTTATCCTATACAGTATGAAAAGAAATGTTCTTTTGGATTATTGGACCAATTTTTTTATGTTACAGAGATTGGATCTTTCCTACAGTTGCTGCTAGAAGGAAACTATGAGGCCATACTCTTAAATTCATTGACTCAAAATATTTTTAATTCAACAAAGATGATTGAAGGAAGGATTGACAGGTACCTGGAGGAGCAGATAATAACATTCCTGTGTTTCTCACCGCATTTGGACCTGACCCAAAGGTAGAATTTTATTGGAAGTTTCATAGAGAAATAGCCACTTAATACATTTAATGGACCTTTGACAGTGTAAGGCACTGGTTTTAGCAGTTATTGAAAAACCTGGTGTACCATTTAGTCAGGGCTCATAATGTACCCAATAATCTTCATAAGAACTTCTGTCCAGAGGGCCCTCAGAATGAAAAAGCAAAGTCGTTTAGGATACAAGGGTTTTGTGTATGAAACTGGCTTCTAACTGGGTGGTAACTGCCAACCCACTGAGCTTCCAAATGCTCGGGTATGATAGGTTTTAGCCATAGTCAAGACTTGAGACATTATTTTCTTTGAACTTGAAAGCATACCCTGTCCATCTAGCTATTTCTGGATTGCTGAGTGATACCTGTAACTACCTTTATTATGTGTTAGATGGTTAACTTTTTAGATATCAGAAAACTTAATGCATTTATTATGGAACCCTTGTTTTAACTTCTCCCACTAAAGTTTATGTAATTTTATAGGATTAGGTGTAATAGTTACACAGAGGTGAAACCTAGATTTTACTGTTATAAATTTGTTAGTATGCTTCTTTCTTTCCTTTACTATCTTGGCACTTATGTCGTCTTAATTTTCTTTATAATGCATGCAATTTTGTTTTACCATTATTTCCAGGGAATGGCTTTGTTTAATTTTTAAAAAAATTATTTATTTTTAGTTTTATAGAGAGGGGAAGGGAAGGAGAGAGGGAGAGAAACATCAATGTGTGGTTGTGTCTCACACATCCCCTACTGGGGATCTGGCCCACAACCCAGGCATGTGCCCTGACTGGGAATCGAACCAGCAACTTTTTGGTTTGCAGGCTCATGCTCAATCCACTGAGCTACACCAACCAGGGCTGTTTAATTCTTAAAAAGAAAAAAAAGCACCTACTGTATTATGTGTTGAGGTTGTGAATAGGAATAAGACATAATTTGTATCCATAAGGAGTTAACAAAAGAATGTTACTATAGGCATTTCATTTTAAAGATTAGTGTCACTCCTTTTAATTTTTCTGGTTTAGTAGTAGTGATACTCTTGCAGTAGTGTCAGCCCTGATTGTTACTTTGCTGTCTGAAGTGTGTGTGTGTGTTATCATAAAAACTCTTACTGGGGACTGAACCTGTAACCCAGGCATGTGCCCTGACCAGGAATCCAACTGGTGATCTTTGGCTTTGGATGGTGCCCAGCTAGCTGAACCACACACACCGGTCAGGGCTTCCCTTAAAGATTTTGATTTTTGGTTGTATTAAGGCTTTAAGATGTTGCTACACACCAATTTCCCCCTACTTCTAACACAAACAGGCCCTTTGCTCACCTATTTTCTCTGGTGCTGATTTTTTTCTTTGCTTATCTGTCAGTTATGCTGAATCCAGCACTTTCTATTCTGGCTACCATAGGCTTGTATGATTGATTTTTAAAAAATATTTTATTTATTTATTTTTACACAGAGAGGAAGGGAGAGAGGAAGAGAGGGTGAGAAACATCAATGTGTGGTTGCCTCTTGTGTGCCCTGGACCGGCGACCTGGTTTGCAACCCAGGCATGTGCCCTGACGGGGAATCCAACCGGTGACCCTTTGGTACACAGGCCAGTGCTCAATCCACTGAGCCACACCAGCCATGGCTGATTTTTTTTTTTTTTTTCCTTAAAGAACCTTTTGAAGTAGGGTTTAAGGGATATAGGGAGAAGAAAGCTTTTGCTTTCTCTTCAGCATGAAACTTCAGGGTTCTCTGGCTATTACTTGGTAGAGTTGAATCCTCACCTATATTTTCTTTTTTTAGATTTATTTATTTTTGAGAGAGGGGGAAGGGAGGGATAAAGAGAGGGAGAGAAACGTCAATGTGTGGTTGCCTCTTGCATGCCCCCTACTGGGGACCTGGCCCACAAACCAGGCATGTGCCCTGACTGGGAACTGAACTGGTGACCCTTTGGCTTGCAGGCCGGCACTTAATCCACTGAGCCTCACCAGCCAGGGCCCCACCTGTTTTTTCTTAATCTTGGGGCTGGCAAATTAGGGCCAGTGGGACAAAGTGGCTAAGAATGGTGTTTGCGTTTTTAAAGGATTGAGGGAAAAAAACATGTGTGACGCACAAAGCCTAAAATATTTAAAATCTGTCCTCTACAGAAAAAATTTACCCACCTCTTGGCTTAAACCGAAGCAGGATTGAAAAAAATAGGTTCAAGTGAAATTTCTAAGGGGCTTTTTTTTTCAGCATGTGGTGGAACAGGATAGTGAAGTGTTCTTTAAAAACAACATTTTGTTGTCGGTTTTCTTTTGTATAAAATTGGTTTAACCTGTGTCTCCTGGCAATGTCAGAGCTGTTAATGCAGGAGAAGCAGGAAAAGTTAACAAGTGCTGGATCAGGATCTCAGCCAGCACCCTTCACAGGAACTTCCTGTGATGGCGGAAATGCTGGTAGCTGTGCTGCCCCGTACGGTGGCCCCTGGTCACATCTGACTCTTGAGCACTTAGAATGTGGACAGTGTGACTGAGGGAGTGAATTTGAACTTTTGTTTAATTCTAATTAATTTAAGTTTAAATGAGCTGTATGTGGCTCATGGTTACAATATCGGACATTGCAGACCTCAGTTGTTTAGGTTGCCGGGTTTTTTGTTTTTTTTGTAATACTTTCAGATAATCTCAATAAATGTTGGTTTACATTTTTCAATTTTACAATGAAATAGTATGTTGGTGGTTATAAAGTGATAGTTGTTCACATTTATTTCTTTAACTATTTTTATATGCAGACAACAGCTGATATTCCTAATTGGTGTGAGCAGTTTGCAACTCTTTGTTCAGAGTAACTGGACGGGGCCTCGTGTTGATTTACACCCTCAGGAGCTTTTGCCATCTGTCTTGTTCCAGCATTTCAGTGAGGTATGCTTCTTGGAAATGTCCCTTGCAGTTATTATTGTGTGATTTATTCTTGAGGAACTGGTCTGTGTACACTAGAGTTACAAGTTGGTAGGAAAGAAACGTGATTTCATAGTTGTACAAAACCTACCAAGAATGCTTGTTCCTCCAACAGATTTTCACATATTTCCAGAAGTTTCCTTGCCAGTTCCAAACTCCTCAGATGTCCCCATTTTCTGGAGCTCTGTAAGCTGCTCTTTGTTTAATTTTTTTAAAAATTTATTGATTTTAGAAAGAGAGAGAGAGGGAAGGAGAGAGAAACGTCAGTTTGTTGTTCCAGTTGTTTATGTATTCATTGGTTAATTTTTGTATGTGCCCTGACTGGAGATTGAACCCGCAGCCTTGGCGTATCAGGGTAACACTCTGCTCAACTGAGCTCTCCGGCCAGGGCTGACTTCTTCTTTTGAAGCACAGGCAGCTGCCCCAGTTACTCACATACATGTAAATGCATATGTTACTGCAGTTACATAAAGGTCTTTTCTGGAAAAGTAGCCAATTGGGAAATCTGTTGCAGGTAAGTTTGCCGCAATGCTTAGGAACCGTTCCCAGGGGCAATTCCCTTTATATTATAAATACTTTCTTGAGTGCCTGGCACAGAGGTCTCCCTGGTGATAGCAATTATCATCATCCGTGTTTGAAGACAATACCGTTGGCCTGCATCAGCAGGTCATCAGCAGGGCTCCCAGTCTGAGCTCCTCGGGAGGTTCTGAGCACACACGCCTAGGGCCTGGGGGATGCGATGTGCTCTGCAAAGACGCCTGGCACCTTCGGTTTATCTTCCCCCTCAGAAATACTGAATGCAATGACTGATCACTCAGCCTGGAAAAGGGGTCCCTTAGCACCCAACGTTTATGCAGCGAAAGGGGTCTATTTACTGTTACCTGCTTTCCCAGAACTGGAAATAGCACATGAAAGGGATAATGTTATTGGAGATGAAGGTCCGTAGTTTGGGGGTGGGGTGGAAGGAGAAGTATGGAAGCAGCTGTCATCTGAACGCCTCGGCGATCAGCTCCGTGTCCATCGGTTCGCTGAGTCGCTGCCTACACCGCCGCAGAAGAACTGAAACAGTGCTGACGCCACGTCGTTACTGAAAGGCTAAACGATCTTCTGTATGTTATGTCTAAGAAGGGAATTTAATCTACACTTTACAAAGACTTTCATCCAAAGTTAAAGTAAAATCCCAAAGTTTATGTCGTTTAAAGAGACACGCTTCAGCCATGTAGAAATTTACTTATACGGAACATGTCATTCCCTCTCTTACTGTTTATGAAACAGTTTCTGGCTTCTGCGGCCCTATAGTGTAGATTAGAAATCTATCCAACAGTCAAAGGCATAATATTTACTGAGCACCGATGTGTGGTTCAAATGGTCCTCAATTCACATGTGTTATGTATTAATTTGAGGTATTGTGTGCGTGAGAAGACTGAAGTTCAAAGTGCTGAGAGGAGCTTGTCCCAGGTCTGATGCCTGGGGGATTAGAATCCGTGTTTTCTGGGTCCAAACCCAGGGCTCTTTCTGCTGCGCTAGTGTAAGAGCATCGATAATGTCAGGTAACAGTTCAAAGCAGTACAGAAATGGGCTACATGAGAGAGTCAGACTATAAGAAACACTGAAATTGATGAAGAGATGTGTGGAATGTGAACTTTCTCAGAAAAGACCTTTTAGCTGGGAGTGGACCTTGAGTCAGAGCCTGCGGGGCGATGAGGAAATGGAGAGGGGGAGAAGGGGAGGAAGTACCGGCGCATCCTGGCATTCGTAAGAGCAGACATTTAGAGGGGAGAAGAGGGTGGTGTTTGTGGGCAAGGGTCGTGTTGAACCTGTTGGGGTCGCAGTCAAAGGTCAGGCTCGATGGGATTCAGGCCAGATTGTAGGAGACTTTGCCTGAGACCTTGGTTTTTATTAGAACTACCTCATACATTTTTTTAAAAAAGCATATAAAATGTGTACAGTTTAAATAATAAAATCCCTTGTTCCTACCACCTTGCTTGAAAGAACAGAGCTTCCGATGGCCACCCTGTGCCATTGTGGCGTGTGTGGGGCGGGGGCTGGTGAGTGCCTTCGCACTGGCCCCTCTGGTTTGGCAGCCCTCTAGTCGGTAGTGGGCACTGCAGTCATATCATCCTCTCCACGTGCTGCGACATGGGCAGCTCGGGCAGTACTGCCTGACAAGGTCCCCTGTGTGAGCTTCCTGATGTCATCCCCCCAACCCCATTTGATGAACCACTCGTGAATCATTCCACTACTTTTCTCCATGGTTTTAGCAGCTTTGTATGTATCCCTAGAAAACATAGTGCTTTGTTTTGCTAGTTTTTGAACTTTATGGAAATGAGACAAACTATGGATTCTGTGCTTCGCTTTGCTCAATGGTGTATTTTTGGAATTATACCATTACCTATTTTTACTGTTGTATATTATTCCAATTATATGAATATACCACAATTCATATACCTGTTCTACTCTTGATGGCCATATGGGTCATTTCCATCTTTTGCAAAATATGCACAATGCTATTAGGATGATATCTTCTGGAAATCATTTGGAAGAGTTCCAAAGCACAGCATAGTTAAGAAATGAGAGTGTTTGGTGCAGGGCACCGAATGGAGGAAGGAGGCTGTTTCCCTGGCCCCGGGTTATAGTCGGGCGCTCTGAGCGCTGAAGGGGTCAGTGTTTCAGCACCTGCAGACCCTTCCCCGCCGTAAACGGGATGCTCTGCTGACGTTAGTTACGTGTGTGAGTCGAGTTTCGTGCCGAAGGATGTGTGTGTGCTCAGCGTTCCTTGTTAACGTCAGGTTGTTTTTAAAAGGATTATACAATTTATAAATTGTTACCTACAATCAGAGGAATTGGAAGATAGAGGGAGTTGAAGTTTTTAAACTGGATAGTATTTGCTAGTCATTTTCCTGTCCTGATTCATGCTTTTCTTTTTATAAAGGTTTGATGGTTTTATTTTATTATTTTAAAATTTTATTAAATGTATTGGGTGACATTGGTTATTATAATTACCTGGGTTTCAAGTGGACAGCTCTGTAATACATCGCCCGTACATGGGATTGTGTGTTCGCCGCCCCACACAGGTCTCCTTCTGTCACCACCTATTGGACTACTGTACCCTCTTCTGTTTTCTCACCCTACCCCTGCCCCGTACTGTTGTCTGTGAGCATGAGTTTTGGTTTGTCTTGTTTGCTCATTTGTTGCATTTAGTTTTTCAGATCTTCGCTAAGTGAAATAAGTCAGATGGAAAAAGTCCAGAGTGAAGTTTGATCTCACTCATATGCAGGATATAAACCCGATTCATCTTTCTTAGCTCTTCGCGATGCACAAATACTTGTGAATATGCTTTATGGCCCTGGAGTCTAGTCACCAAAGCCAAATTCACTTTCCCTGTTCCTAATTTACGGCCTTGGCCCTGTGAGTGCCGTTTTCCAGCCCCGTGCTGACCAGCCCCCCGGGACTGGCACCGAGACCGAGTCTGAGCAGTGGGTCACCTTTCACGCATGAGGGCGATCTCCCAGTAATCTGCTTTTATAGTGACTTTATCTTAGGCTTCCAGATGTTGGATTTTTCACTATTATGCTGTTAAATATGTGTGTGTTTTTTTTTAATGTCATCTGCTCTCTTGGCTGAGGAATTGTTCTTCAGGGAGCTGTAACCTTTTCTTTCTGTTTTTATTGAAAATATAAACAATCCTTTTTAAAAATGGATAATTTTCAAAACCTCTGGAAGCACATTCAGAACTTAGTTGGGATATCTGTTATATGACAGGTGGGCAGAGGCTGATTCTCTTCAGCAGAAGAGAGAAAAGCATTGAATTATTTCATGAAGATGCAGGGGTAACACTAGGAAGAGAATTTGTTTTATTTACTGGTTTATTCACTTAGTCACTAATTTATTTATTAAAATTTGCCCTGTTAATACCGTTTCCAGAGAATTTTGAGTTGAAGGAGGGAAGGGAGGTTTAATAAACAACCCCTGGCTTTGTGTGTCAGAGGTAATGGCTTTCAGGTCACATATTATGGGCTATCTCTCTGTAATTTTTTGGAAGATTTTATTTATTTATTTTTAGAGAGAGGAGAAGGGAGGGAGAAAAGAGAGGGAGAGAAACATCAGTGTGTGGTTGCCTCTCACGGGCCCGCTACTGGGGACCTGGCCTGCAACCCAGGCATGTGCCCTGACAGGTAATTGAACCGGAGACCCTTTGGTTCACAGGCCTGCGCTCAATCCTCTGAGCTACACCAGCTGGGGTGCTATGTAATTTTTTATTTGATGATCTATTAAATTATGTATTTGTTATTTGTTATTTATCTTTAGGGATTTTCTTACAGGGATGTCTAGTCCGAGGGCCACATGCGGCCCAGGATGGCTGTGAATGAGGCCCAACACAAAATCGTAAATTTACTTAAAAATCGGGAGATTTTTTTTTTTGTTTTCATTAGTGTTTCTGTATTTTATGTGTGACCCAAGCCAACTCTTCTTCTAGTCTTCCAGTGTGGCCCAGAGACACCAAAAGGTTGGACACCCCTGCTAAGACAATCTAACTTTGTGCCGGTGGACATAATTCTCAACGTCATTAGAATAAGGATTCTTTTTTTTAAAAATCATCTCATGTCTTCTTGTACTTCACCAGTTTGGTTTGTACCTTAGGAAATAAAGGTTGTTGTACCCATTTAGACGACAGGTTGATTCAGTGAGGCTGCAGGTCCAGTCGGGGCACGTTAGGCAGGCTCCTCTCTCCAGTTCTTCAGCACGTATATTCACCTGCACACTCTCTACCTCCATTTGGAGGTCCCACAAGACACCTGACTCTGCGTGTCCAAGGCTGAGCTCACGGCAAGGTTCTTCTGCAAACTGGGTCCTCTTCCAGTGTCCGTATCTCAGTGACCCACTCTGCCATAATGACCTTGTGTTGGTGTGAAGACTAGGAGCGGTCCCGGACCTGAACTTGAGGCCTTCCCACTGCTTAGCACAGCCCGGACCTTGCTGAGTGGCAGGAGGCGGTAGAGAGGTCGGTGGGGAAGGCAGTGTGGGGTGGGGGAAACATTGGAGTGGGAGCTGGAAAACCTGGGCTACAGTTTCTGTTCAGACCCGAACTTCCGTGCGATTTTGGGCTTCCCTTAACTTTTTACATCTGTTGCCTCACTTCGAAAATTGAGGCAGTTGTAGTAATTTCAAAACAGTTCCTTAATGAGTCTTTGAAAAATTCCTTCTGCTCTCAGTGGAGATAACAGCCAGCTTGATGTGTGGTTTGGTGGTAGTCATTTGAGTTGTCTTTATTCCTGTTATTCTTCTCAGCTTTATCCTTGTAAGAACTCTGTAAGGTACAGGTTCCATTTCATCTTACACTTGATGAAACTGAAGCTTCAGTTAAAAAATGTACCTGTCCACAAACTACTAAGGAGCAGACAAAGGGCACCACCCTGTGTCTCTGAGGTGGGAGCCCGTGTTCCTAACAGTTAAGGTTCCTGCTGTCCATTTTGTGGCAGCTGTCAAAATTATGCCATTCACATTTTATTTTATTATTTTTATATGTAAAGATTTTTATTTATGTTTAGAGGGAGAGAAACATCCATGTGCGAGAGAAACATCAGTCAGTTGCTTCTCACGCTGCCCCAACTGGGGACCTGGCCCACAGCCTAGGCTTGGGCCCTGACTGGGAATCGACTTGGTGACCTTTCAGTTTACAGGCCGGTGCTCAATCCACTGAGCCACACAGTCAGGGCTGATTTTTTTTTTTTTTTTGAGAGAGAGAAACATTGATTTCTTGTTCCACCATTTTATGCGTTCACTGGTTGCTCCTTGTATGTGCCCTGACTGGGGATCAAACCTGCAGCCTTGGTGTATTGGGGTGAGACTCTACCAGGAGCGTCCAACCTGCGGCCCAACACAAAGTCGTAAATTTACTTAAAACACTGAGATTTTTTTTATGATTACGTGTCACAGTGTATTTAATGTGTGTCCCAAGACGACTCTCCTCCTTCCAGCGTGGCCCAGAGACGCCAGAAGGCTGGACACCGCTGTGACCAACGGAGCGACTCGGCCAGGGCCGCAGCTCCCATCTCAGGGACACGGGGCCGTGCATGGTAGAAAGCCTCTGTGCAGGCAAGGAGAGGGCTTTTCAGAGGGGTCCCTTTGGGCAGCTCTCTGTCCTCTCTGCTCCTTGGTTGCGTGCCCTCTCAGCATTGGTTCCTAAGACCTCGTTGTTGGCTTGGTCGCCCTTACGGAGCAGACGTGCTGTAGGGACATTTGCCAGCTGGTGGAGCCCACGTGAAGTGCGTTTAAAACATAAATACTGTAGCAGAGGGATGCTTGTTATTGAGACAGTATTTTGTTTTGAGTAAATCTGTGAAGTCCTGACGCCTCCCCCCTACTAGCACTCTTGCATGCGCCCTCTTTCTCTGACGGGCAAGTAGGCGAGTGACTCTCCGTCCGGGCACCCTGGACTCGTGGATCTCTCAGGGCGCTTGTGGTGCTGTGGTTCTGTGTGGGGCCAACTGCTGTGTCACAGGTCAGAGCCTTTGCTTCAGAGCGGGAGCAGCTGGAAAGTGTGTATAATGACAAGACATGAAGATTAGTAATATTTTGTTACATTAGATATCTTAGTTCATGTATATATTTTTCAGGTGAAAGAACTGGATGCAGCTGTTCTGCGTCTGCTCATTCTGGATGGCGAGTCAGTCTACAGCCTCATCGAGGGGCCCCTGCTGCTGCTCCTGGCGCGGGTCATCCTGGTGGACGTCAGGCAAAGGCTGGCAGAGGTTCAGGTGAGGGGAAGGGGCCGGGGTCTCACACCGGGTGCGGCTTCCGTGCAGCTGAACGTCAGACTGCAGGTGTGATGCTGACAGTATCTCCATCTACTTGTTGTCTAAGTTGTCTTCTGGGTATTTAACTGTAAAACATGATGAAAATAGGCAAAACTTCCTCCCTTACGGGATTGATGCATCTAGTATAAAATGAGATGGTATTGTGCCTCTTTAATAGGAGTGTATGTATGTATGTGTATGCATGTGTATAAATGTTTATTCTCTGAATCTGAAATGTAGTTTAAAAATGTCCTTCATAGTCTCTTACGAATTTCATGTAAGATCATGAGCAGTAGGTGGGGTTTAGCGTGATCATAGTGGATCTTAGTTACCGTTTCCTGGCTCACGTCCAACCTAGTTTCATTATTTGGGTTGGACTCAGTCGAGTGTGTAGTAGAACATGGTTTCTTTAGTTCACGTGTAAATTAGTGAGAAGAAGCACTCCAGTTCACAGAAAGCTAACAGGCAGTAGGAGGAGGTGAGAAAAACAACAAGAGATACAGAGGAAGTCTCAGGAGGCTTTGCGCTGGGTCAGCCGTGCCTTGTGCAGTCTCCGTGTTAACCGCGTGGGTCTGTCTCCCCGGCCAGCTTTGCGCTGTGGTGTGAGAGCAGCTGTAGACAGAATGGGAGCACACGGGGGCGGCTGTGTGTGCTAATAAAGCTGTATTAAAATGGACACCAACATTTTAATTTTACTTATTTTCACATTACAAAATGTTATGATTAAAAATGTAAAACTATTGTTTCTTCTCAGGCTGAACAAGTGCTAGTGGAGGGCTGCATTCGGTCCACAGGCTGCAACTTGCTTCCTCGAGTTCCAGTGTCACAGCCTGGGGACTTGGGCCCCGGTTTGCCAATGATAAATCTGAATTTCATGTGGAGTCTCCCAGTGTCTAGGTGTTGGCTGGAAAACTCTAACAAACACAGTATTTCTATGGGCAAAAGGTAGACTTGGTTTGTACTGTGTGAGGGCTTACTTTCACAGGCATTTAGGTTTAGACAGAGAAGAGGCAAGAAGGGAAGTGATATCTCCATCTGTAACTGCAGTGAGAGCCAGAGGATTTGCTCAGACTCAGTTGTACTAGCTGGTTTGTAGCAGATGGTTTTCAGCATACCCCAGCAGATATAATCTCTTGTCTTTGATTTGTTCAGCGACATTAGTTTGAATTGAAAAAAAAAGTTTCCCAAGTTGATCTGAGTCCGGTGGTCCCATGGACTGACTGTGACAGTGCTTGGCTCTGAAGACAGTGCCACCCAGGCGTGAGGCCGCCTGCCAGATGGCAGTGTCCCTGCCAGTGAGACTATGGTCATTAGTGAGCGAGGGATGCGACTGTAAGTTTCCTTGGTGGGAAACTTGCATCAGCAGGTACGTTAAGCATCACTCGAACGGAGATGTGTGCACTGTGAGCCGCTAGAGAACAAGTTAGTATGTGAAGCCACATTCGGGAGGGTCGGAGAGACAAGTCACCTGAATTTCTTGGCATACGAGTAGCAACTTTTGACTTCAGCTTCTAGCCCTGTGGTACATCACCATGCAAAACGGAGATCACTCTGTGCTGAAGTCTTGTTTCTCAGTTGAAACGTTAAAGTTTTTTTCTCTTTGGGTCTTGAAGATACTCTCCAAATCATGTTGATAAAAATGACTTCTTTGATTAATGAAGATAAATGATTAAAAAGCATAAGGTACTCATCCAAGTTAATTATAATCTTTTAAATTAATTTGGAATTGGTTGGCTCCTAAGAAATGTGTCAAGTTGTTTATTACAAAATAATTTTTTTGGAACTGTAAGAGATGATTTTCCCCAGCCCTCTAATCTGTGAAATATGCAGGCCAGTATTAGTAATATGTAAATGTTGGGAGAAAAGAATCCTGGCTTTGAAATCAGACCAGAGTTTATCTGGCTCAGCCACTTAACTGTCTGACTTTGGGCTCGTTAATATCTCTGAATATCACTTTCCTTATCTCCACTTTATAGTGGAGTGAGTCTGCAAGCATTTATTGAGTGCCTTTGAGTATACTAGTGTTCCCTGCCTTCTAGGTGGTTATTGATTAATGTGATTTCTCAATCAGAACATACTCTACTAAATCCTGTAATCAGAAGATAGGCTCTATCCCTGGCTGGTGTGGCTCAGTGGATTGAATGCTGGCTTGTGAACCGAAGGGTCACCAGTTTGAATCCCAGTCAGGGCACATACCTAGGTTGCAGGGGAGGTCCCCAGTAGGGAGTGTCTGAGAGGCAACCACACATTGATGTTTCTCTCCCTCTCTTTCTCCCTCCCTTCTTCTCTCTAAAAATAAATAAATAAAATCTAAAAAAGAAGAAGAAGAAGAAGAAGAAGAAGAAGATAGGATCTATCTAGAAACTATCTAAAGCAAGACTTCAAATTTTCTTTTTTTATTAACGACTCAAATTTTCAGTTAAGCAATTCTTGGCAGATAGAAAAGGCACTTCTATTTTCAGAACGTAGGCTGTGCTGTATTCGTTCTGCACTCCACCTTCTCTATAAAGATTTTCAGTTAAGAGTTAGTTGCTAGATCTGATTTTTAAGAGTCCAGCATCTGATGTCGTACGTTTTCTTACAAGGGCAGTCTCTGTGGGTCTGTCTGAACTCTCACGTCTAGAAGAAGGAAGCGAGTGCTGCCAGACCTGACGCACTTGCTGCTGGCGGAGGAGAAGGGACAGGTGGTTGACGTGTAGACTGACTCCGTGAGCTTCGCTGATGGGAACAGAATGAGGCAACGCCTCAGGGAATCACATTAAAAATGATGTGAAACATCTTTTCATTAGATAATTCTACCTTGCTGGATGGAGGAAACAGCATTAATAATTTACAGGGCTGTCAGGGAGTCAAAATTCATTTGCGATTGTATCATTGTTCCAACTGCTGTGGCATGTAGCAGTTTAGAGGGGGAACCAGGCCGTTTTGCCTCTTAATCAAATGCAGAAGTTAAGTTCAAGTAAACTAATGCTTTTGCTGTTACACGTGATCTCCTATTAGTAGGTATTGCTTTAAAAAAAGAAATGTTATTATCTCACAGCATCACAATATAATTCAAAGTAACAGTTTTAAGTAATTTAGATGATTCTACGCATGATCGTACTCGATACATTACTGAGTCTATCAGAAATATAAGTTGTATGCTCACACACGCGGAGGAAGATGTGGAAGAAGGTGAGCCTTTGTCGTGGCGTTTTCTGAGGAGGAGGGATGGAGATCTCCACTTCTGAGCGGGGCGGCAGGAAGGAGCTCTTCACTCTCCACTGTGCTTCTGGGTCACTTCGTTGTTCGCTGTTTTTCTTTTTCTCTTTTAAAAATGAGGATGTATTGATCAAATAAGAACAAGCACAGAAGAGAGAAAACACCACTGTGTTCTCAGCCTGCGCGCTAGTCGAGACAGTGGCTAAAGGGCAGCCTCTGCCCTGAAAGCGTGTATGCACTGGATAGGGTCGTGCCCTTGAGAAACAGCTGTCCAACGCGGTCTGACTGTAGGAACAGCGGACAAGTTCAGAAGCGAGACACCAGTGTGTGCCACACTGCGGGGAGAAGGCTTCACGGGAGCGGTTCCACGCACGTGTGGAAGGGAGCGTCCCGGTGTGGGGCACTGTCTGAATCCAGCGTGTTTCTTATGTGGTAGTTTCTGCGAAACACATTGCTCTGGGGGCGACACAGAGATGAGCAGGACATGGCTTCTCACTTGTTGGCTAAATGGCAGACAACACAGGAAGCCGGGGGGCGACATACGGGAACATAGTGGCGTGTGTCTGCACAGATGTGCCGGGAGTGCAAATGAGGGAAAACGTCACCCCCCAACACCTCGAGGTTCTTGGGGAGGCCTCCCAGAACTGTCGGTGCTGACGGAGTGCAGGACGGTTACAGCAGATGTTTTAAAGGAGGAGATGATGAGTTCGACATGATGTCAGGAAGCCCAGTAGACTAGACAGAACAGGCTTTGAGAGAACAGCGGAGAAGGGTATCCTTGTGGAGGTGGACCTGGGTATTACTACAGTGGATGGGAAATCTTACTGAGTAAGCTCGATTTCATAAATGTAAAAAAAATTCTAAAAATTAATTACAATTAATGCAAAAATTATTTTTCCACAGGGTCCTGTCAAAACTTTAGCTTACATGGTGCTTTCTTTTTTTAGAGCTTGCCATGGTGGACTTTGAGGTATGTGAATATTCATCAGCAGTTGCTCGAGGAACGCTCACCTCAGCTTTTTGCTCTTGCTGAAGATTGTATTGATGAAGGTAAGTAGCAGGATTTTATTCAACATGGGCATGTAGTTCCATTTTAATTTCTTGGCTGACACATTTCTTTTTAGCTTTTTTTTTTAGAGGTAATAGTGACTTTATTTGAGGCTCTTTCTTTTTTTTCCTGAAGGTAGAATATCACAAATTATTAGGCTCAGTGGGTTGAGGCACTGGCCTGCAAATCGAAGTGTCGCTGTTTCGATTCTCAGTCAGGTCATGTGTTTGGGTTACTGGACAGGTCCCTGGTTGGAATTATGTGAGAGGCAACTGATTATTGTTTCTTTCACACTTCAGTGTTTCTCTCCCTTTCTCTCTCTTCCTCTCTCTCTATAAATGAATAAATTGAATCTGAAAAAAAGAAAGAAAATGTGTAGACTAAGTCTTCCCCCATTCATGCCATCACATATTTTTGAAATTAAGTGAGAGACACTATAAACAAACTTAATGCAAGGGAGAAGGAAGAGTGGGGGTAAGCATCTAGTTGATGAAATCGGGTGAAGTGTTTTTTTAAGGATTTTACTTATTTATTTTTAGAGAGAGGAGAAGGGAGGGAGGGAGAGAGGGCCAGAAACATCCATGTGTGAGAGAAACATCGATTGGCTGCCTCTTGCACGCCCCCAACTGGGGACCTGGCTGGCAACCCAGGCATGTGTCTTGACCGGGAATCGAACTGGCCACCTTTCAGTTTGCGGGATAATGGCCCAACCCACTGAGCAACTCTAGTCAGGGCAAAATAGGGAAAAGTTTTGAAAGCCAGGGATGAGCAGAATGTCATTGATAATAATGGGGGAAAAAGTTGTTTTTTTTGAAGGGATATCAAAAACATTTGGAGGAGGATGGCATCAGGATTTAGCCCACCATTTAATTTTTTTAAAAGGGTAAATTACGTGATACTTGCATAGGATATTCTGCTGTTTCCTATGTTTTATTATACTTTTATAGAAAATTGATAATTGAACAAAAAACAAGATATCACTGGCATTTTTTTTAAAGGAATTTAAGTTTGATGTGGTCATTAATGCAGATTTAGTCCACATTATATAAATTGCATTAATGGCTATATCTTTACCATATCTCTGACCAATGTTCACAATGGTGACCCTTTATGAAGAAAAGAAGAAAATACCTTCCAAGGTAGGACCCATAATGGTACTTTTTAGAGAGAATTCTAGAAGGTAAAATCGAGGTTCCCCACGAAAGGGTTAACTAGGACGTCTGGAAAACGTGACCGTGAGTGACTCATTCCCCGAGTGGCTCCCGTGTCTGCAGTGTGTTGCGGCCTGTCATTTGCTTTGCCTTGCCACTGGGAATTTTTCTGTTGCTGCTATTCTAGGCTAATCAACGACATTTTTCATTTTATCTAGTCATAAATTGGTCCATTTTGGCTGTGTCTAACTAAATAACTCTGCAGATAGTCTTAAGCTGCAACATTTCATAAACAATTTTATTTAACAAAAAACCGGTTTGCTCTGGGATTTGACCCAAGTGTTAACCAAGCCGTCAGTTATAACTGAAATACTGTTTGGTGTCCAGAGAAGAATCTTGTATTTGAAATGTTGCCCTTGAGGGACCATCAAAAAGTTGGCAGGATTTTTTTCAGTCTGTGAGGCCGAGCAAGGGTATTATGAACAACTGCGGGCTTGGAGTGCTTGCCCAGGAATGCCACGTCGGTGCCGTGCGGTGGCGTGGGGCCCATCAGAGCGGCAGTGTGACTTTGCTGGGCCGGTCACGGCTGTGAAGGGAGTGGGTCAGAGTCTCGAAAAGCGTGTTCCTCAGCACAAGCTGTAGCGCTCTTGTGGGTGTCACACGAATGACACCAAGATTCTCTAAAGGCTGCTGCTTAAGGCCACACGGCCATTTGTTGTAGGGTCTGATACTGGAAATGTGTTCCGGTCCAGCATGAACCCGAGGGCTGCGGTTTAGCTCCTCGAAGGTGAGCTCATGGAGAGGCCACTGTCTCAGAGAAGCAGGTCATGATGCTTTGTCCGAGAGTTCGGTCGTGACAGCCGCAGGCCGTGGAGCGACTCCAGGGTTAGATTGTTTCCACACTGGAAGAGTTTAAGAGATTAGTCTCTTGGTGACGGATTGATTTTTAAAATAATTTGATACTTTGGAATGAGTGTTATTGAATATGCTAAATATGATTTTTAATTATAATTATCCATAAGGATTTCATTAACATAGAGATTTTGGTTTTGAGAAGAGATTTTGGTTTTAACATATGTTTTTTATATGTACTGGTTGATATTTTCATCCAGAAGGTCATGAATATTCATTTCCATGGAGTGCCTACTCATTTGGTGAAAATAATAAACGTACTTCTATTGGGTCAACATGCTCTTCTTTTTTATTTAAACCTTGAGTCATCCAAAGCTCAAAACTTTGTGTTCATAGTTGATTCATTGTTTTCCATTACTCTGCATATCTAAGCCAGCTCTTAAATCTTATCAGTTCTTCCCAAAGGGTCCCCACATCCATTCTTCTTTTCCATTTCTACAACTCTTATCCTATTCCACTGCTGCAATCTGTCATTTGGAAAGGCCCCCTGGGGATTATCTTGTTCAGCTAAGTAACTCATTTACAAAGAATTGAGACTCAGGAGAAATTGCTCAAGAGCCAGAACTATGATCTGGAGTTTCTGACTCCAAATTATGTTTCTCCAAACTGGTCAGTAGGGCAGAATTCTAGTATTTAATAGTGATAATGCAGGTAACATTTCTATAGTGCTTACTCCATACTAAGAACTGTTCTAATCTTTAATACTTCTTCACTAATTTATCCTTATAGTAACTCTTATGAGATGATACTAAAGAGTTGACATAGAATGGTAGAATGGTAGGTAGAGTGCGCTTTTTAAAAACAGCTTTTTTAAAAGTGCAATTAACCTATAATGTCTCATTTGAAGTGTACAGTTGATGACATCGTACATATGCATATACCTATGAAATTATCACAATCAAGACAATTCACAGAACATGCTGTTTCAAGATCTGGCTTTTAGTTCCTGTTCTCTCATTGACTCCCTATGTGACCTCAGACACCTTCATCTAACTCCCAGACCAAGGTTGTCTTCTGTGTGAAATGAACTTTGAATCCTTTCCAGGCAAAAATAGTGTGATTCTTTTCAGGCCATCTTTCCGCCCATCCTAATGCTGAAGTCTATTGGGAGAGCGTATCCAAAAAAGTTACCTCCTCTTTTCTTGGGCACTTTCCGAGATGACTTTGAGTGGGAGCCCATTCCATTAACGAATCCACATTTGCTACAAAGAGCTTCCTTTTATTAATTGAAAATACCTGCTGTTTTGCCACAACTGCTAGCTAGAGCTCCTGTCTGATATAGTGGCTACTAGCCACACATGACTGTTTAAATTAAAATAAAGTAAAATAAATGAAATTAAGACTTTAGTTCTTTGGTTTCACTAGCTACATTTCAAGTGCTCAGAAGCCACATGTAGCTAATGGCTTATCCTTTTGGAGGGCGCAGCTCTAGGATTTCCCTCACCAGACTCACTGACTGGACCGTCCGGCTGTGGAGCCGTGGAGAGCTGTGGCTGGCCCTCCAGTCACCTAGGGCTGCCCGTCCTCACTTCGCCTCCAAAAGGTTGCTCTTCCCTTGTAGGCTCTTTCTTGGCCTTTGTTCCTTCTTCCTGTACATCACAGTGCCGGACTGAGTTTTCTTTTTTTAAAGATTTTATTTATTTATTTTTAGAGAGAGAGGAAGGAAGGGAGAAAGAGAGGGAGAGGCACATCAATGTGTGGTGGCCCCTACTGAGGGCCTGGCCCTCCACCCAGGCGTGTGCCCTGACCGGGATTAGAACCGGTAACCCTTTGTTTTGCAGGCCAGCACTCAATCCACTGAGTTATACCAGCTAGGGCTGATTTTTCTAAATATCAATTTTGTCATGACATTTTAAATAGAAAAAGATCTTTAATTATTCCCAGTTTTATCTTTGATGCCCTATTTCCTGGAAAATTTGATATTTAATAAAGTTGTTTTTGAATGCTTGCTGTGCTCCAGTCACTGTGCTAGGTGCTGGGGATGTCAGTGAACTCAGCAGGACAGGTGCTAGAACATAGGAAGAAAGGAGTCTAAACTCGAGGGACCAGAGAAGGCTTCACAAAGCGGCAGATGCTTGAACCGAGTTGTGAAGAATCAGTACGAATTTATTAGGTGGAGAGGTTGGACAGGCTATATTATATGCACAGAGAGAGGCACAGAGACTTGACTTTGTGTGTTTGGACACTGCAGGCGTGTGGAATGGCGGGAGCAGAGTGTGAAGTACTGAGTGTCAGGTGGAATGGGGATAGACAGGTCTTAGATCACTAAGGACATTGTATTTCTATCTCGTTGGTGATGGCTAAATACCTGCTCACTCCAAGGATGTTTACTGAGTGCCAACTGTGATAGATGCTAGGCGTGCAGTGGTGAACAGACAGGCACGGGTGGGCCCTGTATTTTTTTCTTGTGCGAACCTTACAGTCTAGAGGTGAAATTTTAGCCAAGTTGTACTTGTCTTTCAAGGCTCAGCCCTCCTGACAAGGTTTATTCAACTATTCTATCCTTACAGGTTTCCCTCCTTTGTTACTTAGGGCCAGTACCTTAGAATTTCAAGTCAGATTAACTGTGTATTGAATAGTGATTATGGTTTTTTTTCTTTTCCTCCCCTCCCCTCCCCTCCCCTCTCTCCCTTTTCCCCATTCCACAGCTTTTTTGGGGGAGAACAGGGCTGAAACCTTGCTGTAGAATGTAGCACAATTCTAGGCATATATAACAATTCAGTAGCTATTGATGAAGAGTTATGGGATGGAAGAGAGGCAAAGAGTTGGCTAGCACTTTCCTGTTTGGGCATGACGGGTTGTGTGCCTTCTGGTCTTCATGCTTATGATGGATAACCTCCACCCAGCCACTGGGGTCTTTGTGAAGATTCCATTCGGTTGGCATTTTACTTAGGACACCAGGATGCATTTGGTCAAGAAAAGTATAATCTTAGTATTTATCTTAAGCACTTATTTAATACTTTTATAATTTAGTCATTCCTTCTACTTTTTTTTCTCCTAGAATTCTTTTGTAAAGAATTCATCTTCATCAACCAAGGCTATTCATAACCCTAAATTATAGTTCAGGAAAGGCAAGATATCTTCTTAATTATTTTGCTTTAGTTCTTTTTTTAAAGATTTTATTTATTTATTTTTAGAGAAAGGGGAAGGGAGGGAGAAAGAGAGAGAAACATCAATGTGTGGTTGCCTTTTGTGCACCCCCACTGGGGACCTGGTCTGCGACCCAGGCACGTGCCCTGACTGGGGATTGACGTACACTAAACTGGGCATACTTAAGGCATACAATTTGCAAAGTTTGGACACCCATGAGAGCATCACCACAGCTGAGGTAATGAGCACACCCATTGCTTCCAAAGCTTCCCCCTGCCCCTGGGAGGCCCTTTCCATCCTCTCCCTGTTCCTGCTCGCCCCCCGCCTCTCCAGGTTACCACTGATCTTTCTTTCACAATACATTGCTTTGCATTTCCTAGAATTTTGTGAAAATGGACTCATACAGTCTTTTTTTTTCCTGGCTTCTTTCACTCAACTTGATTATTTTGATTCATCCATGTAGTGATTTACAACAGTAGTTCACACCTTTTAATTGCTGTGTTGCATTCCATTAACTAGAAATAGCAGTTTGTTTATCCATGCATTTGTTGTTGGAAATTTGGAGTGTATCCAGTTTGGGGCTCTTATTCTTTATAATTAGTGTTTTATGGTGAGGTACTTAGAAACCTTGTTCCTGTTCCTTAAACATTGAATTGATGTATTTATGTATTGATATTAGTGTGGACTCACGGGTTCCTAATTTACTCAGTGGATTATAATTTATTACTATTATTATTTTGGTGCTCAAATTATCCCAGATTTGGCCAGTGGGAGCTTGTTCAAACTGGCTTCTGTGTTTTTTCAACATACCTTTGAGCACTTCTTTGTTTTCTGATATGAGAAGATATTTTAGCCTCATTTTGTATTTTCTTGCCCCAGCCCTGGAATCAGTAATTCCTCCAAGGAGTTCTGGATTCTTTTAAAGCCTTTCAGCAGCCATAGCTAGGCAGTGTGTATGTGTGTATACACACACACACGTTTACATCTCTGTCTATTTCTGTGTCTATCTGTGTATTAAAAACCATGAATTTACATCGTCATCACAGGGTTTATTCTAGTCTTCTCTCCTCCAAATTTGTAACTCCCTTCTCTGGCAGTGGCAAACCAGGCTCCCATTATCTTCAACTGATGGGCTTGTCCAGTCCGTCTGTACGTAGTTAATCTCCCAGCCACGTACACTCTCTGCGACGTCAGCTCAGCCACGGGGGCTGCTCCCTTGGCCTCGGCCTCCTAGAACACACAGCTCAGTACTTGACCTGGCTCTGTTGAATGCCGGGCAAGTCCCTGGTCCTGTCACATACACCAGTTCAGACCCTAACCCAAACATTCTGGTCTAGTCCCAGCAGACTTTGGGGTGAGTCCCAGGCTTGGCAAACACTCTAGATGGGTCTCTGTTAAGCCACCAGTGCTGGTTTTGGCAAATGCATAGCTCATGTCTCCAGCCTCCTTAAGTTCTCCAGCTGAGGCCCCTTTTGAGCTGTTACTGGAAAACACACTGGTTGAGTCTCCAGCCAAGACTAGGCCCCAGCAAACATGCCGAAGTCCCTGACCCTGACCCAGGAGCTCCAATTAAAATTTAACCTGGTGTGCTCTCTCCCCCTCTCTCTCTCTCAAGCTCCAAGGGCCCCGTTTTCTTTTGGTTTTCACTGGGGGTGTTGAGAAATCAGTTGTTGGTCCAGTTGCTTCTCCTTTGTGGGTAGTCTGCTTTTTTCCTTTCATTGTTCTAAGATCTTTGCATTTGGGGCTCTTTAGTTTCACCGCGACTGGATTTCTTTCTCTGTTCTCTTGTTAGGGATTTAGTGGACTTTCTTTTGTCCTTTTCTTTTATTGCTTGCCCTCTTCTTTTTACTGGGTTTTCTGACTTTGAGATTTAGTGTCTTCCACACTTCTGGAAAATTCTTAGCCATTATCTCTTAAAATGCTGCCTCTTTTTCATTGTCTCTTCTCTCCTTTTAGGTCTTTAGACATGTTAGAATTTCTCATCTGCATCTTCAACATTCTTTAATTCTTTTATTTTCTATCTCTTTGTTTCCCTATATTGCATTCTGCATAATTTTATTTCATTTATCTTCTAGTAATCTGGTGTGTTCATTCAGTTTTTAATTTTCATTAAAAAATTTCTAGACTTTTTGTTTTTGCCTGCCTAATTTCTGAGCTTTTTATTCCTTGTTCATATTTTCTAGCCTTTTATTTCCGAAAGCCTCTTACACATTTCAGATACTGTATGTGGTTATTTTAGCAACTGAAGGCTTTGAGGGTTTGTTTCTACCTTTTGTTGTTTCTGCTTTCAGGTGTTTGTACTACATGTTCTGTGTTGTTTTGTTCTGTTCTGAGTTCGTGGTCCTTGGGGATTTGTCTGTGGGAATTCTCTGAATCCTGGTTGAAGTTGCATTTCTTCAGAAGGGGGTTTGTCTTTTTTCCCCCACATCTCTGGGGCCAAAATCATGGCCTGAGTTTTTTTGTTTTTCCTTGTCTGTTTTTTCCTACTTAGCTTGAATTGGTCTACAAATCTATGTGAAGGCTGGCTTATAAATTCTTGGGATAATTTTTTTCTTTTCTCCCACTGCCGTTTTCTTTGCTGACCTCTTCTGCGTGGCACACTTGCCTCTTTAACCTTTCCAGGGAGGTGCAGGTCTTTGGGTCTCGGCTTTAAATGAAGGACACCTGCCCGATGGCCTGCCTTGGGCGGGCCCGGTGTCCCTCTCAGCCGTCACAGTGGAGCCCTGAGGTCCCCACCGTGTGACGGATGGCTTCAGGGCAGAAGATGGCTGTAGTCAGGCTTAATTTCTAAGGTTGAAGTTTTCATTCAGTTTTTGTTTTCTGAATATTCCCTACTTTTTTCCCAACACAATCCTTAACAAAAAATATATATATTAGAAATTCAAATCCAGCTTTTTAGAGGTGTTTTTGTTGGGAGAGTAAATTGGTCATGCTGTTGGAATCTAAGGATTAAGTTGATTCTTAAAAATAAAAATCAGGATTATCCCCTTTCTTTATTTGTGGGATAGTCTTTGACTTCTAAGATGCAGAAAAAGCATGGGAGTACAGGAACAAAGCCAGTTACACTAAACTATGTACACCTACATGCCTGCATACATGTAGTTAGGTAGGTGGGTGGGAGGGAAGGTTACAGACCACAGACACCAGCTTTGGGCATTTATGTAACTTATTTATGTGTTATCAGAGCAGTTTAAGTTTGACAGTCTTCTCTCAACCCATGAGCTCTCATCACTGCCAGTCTGTGAGCTGTCACTACGTGCAAATCTATGTCAAGGGCAGAAGTGGCCTTTCTGTGACATTTGAGAGAGGATTTTAACCGGCTGCGGCCGGGCTTTGCGTCCTCTGATGCCGTTTGCATCCAGGACCTTTAGGGAAGATTACTCTGCTGTCACTGATGACTAAGCAAAATGGTGTCACTTGTGCGTTGTGCTAAGATCATAGGAGATTATCATATTCCTGAGAGTAATGGTAGGACAGGGATAACGGGAAGACAGACAAACCTCTGGGAACTTGTGCCGATTAGGGCTGTTGTTGAGGGGCGGTGAGATGACCTGCTAGACATAATTCATTATGCACAATTCATTTGACAACCATTTTATTTCAGCTACTGTGTTCCTAGGTTATTATCCTCCTGTATGAATATTTATCTGTTGCTCCTTTTTTTTTTGCTGTTACTTTTACTAGTATTTCTTTTATGCTGAATTTACTTCTGTGCCATAAGTTTGTTTCTTCAGTTTCTTCTGGGCTACCTTTTCCTTCTGAGCAACCGCCTCTTCTGGTTTAGGAACAAGCTGCCCTTTTTCAGGATGGGAGAGCTCCTGTACGGGTTAATCCTCCCAGGAGCTCTGTAAGTCTCGTGCCGAATCTCGGGAGCTTCGTTCCCCTGGATGCACTCCGTGACCAGAGAATCCACACCTAAACCCTTAAGATCAGTGTTGCTCTCTGCGGTTTTAAGCACGTGCAGCAAAAACTCAGCACTTATTTTGGGCCACCAGCCCCGTTGTTGGGCCAGGGCACACCTGCCAACTCCACCATCGTAACGATGGAATGGTGCGCATCACTTCTGTAAAGTGACGTTCTTCAGGTACTTGATGACTTTCAGAAATGCACGCTCTTGATGGCCTGGGAAGTTTCACGAGTGTTCTGTAGGTGAACACAAAGATTTGAGCCTCTTGATTTTCATGATTTTTGGGGTTTTCTGGGTCAAGCGAGTACCATTTTCAGAGGTCACTTCAGACCACATTTGGGAAGAGCTCTCCTTTCCTTATAAGGGAGGAATTGCACGTTCTTCAGGAGGTAATTTGTAAGCTGATCTCTTCTTCAGATTTTCTGTGCTGTTTAACCCTTCATAGTTCATTTGGTACTTTGCATCAACACCTTGAGTTGTCATATTTTTTGATAGCACAGTGAAGACAAGCACTCTAAAATAAGGAGGAGCAGGGCTATGAATCACCCCCTAGGGCTGTTTGGAATGAAGGAGGTGATGTATACAGTGTCCTTAGCTTCGTGCTTGGAACATACAAGTGCTCAGAGAATGTCAGCTGCGAACTATTGTGTGTTTCCTTATCTTCCAGGTTTAAAAATCTTTAAGAGCAGGACTAATGTAATATCTACTTCACGTATTATGGACTGAACAGTTTACTCATTAACTCACAGTTTTAACTCACAGTTTTAATGTTTCATCTTTTGTCTTGCAGTGATGATGCTGGAGAGTCTGTTTGTAGGTGACGCGGGTCGCTGTTTGGCTATTCAGTTCCACCTGGAGTGTGCATATATGTTTTTGTATTATTATGAGTATAACAAAGCAAAAGATCAGTTCGGTATTGCCAAAGACCTCAGCAAATTACAAATTGATTTGACAGGTAAGACTTTTTGCCTTTTGTCGATAATTGGTTTATTTTTATGGTAAAACTAATATATACATTGGCAGTTTGGCTATATCGTTTGGTTGTATTTGATTTTCTATGTCCTATTCTTTGCTTTACAAAGATAGATTTTAAAGATTTTATTTTAAAAATTTATAGTTTTACAAGAAGTTTGAAATTGTATATTTCCTTTATTCCTTAAGACGCCCCTTTATTTTCTAATCTGGGTAGACATAGGTTAGTAGTTCGGCCGCCAGGCGGTGCACAACGGGACTTCCGGCCGTCTGGCTGTGGACGTGGGTCTCCTGGCCCCCCTGACTCCCAAGCTCGGCTTGTCCCTTCTGCATTGCCCTTTCGTGTAAATGCCCATCTGTGGCTTCCATCCTGCTTTTGTTTATAAGACCTGTTCTGTTTAAGTGTTTTCCATTGCCTTACAACACTACTTGATATATAGGTACTCGATAAACATTTGTTGAGTGAACAAATAAGTTACAGAATTTCTCCTAAGACCTCTGTGTTTCTCCTGAATACCACATAAGAAACACTGGTTCCTTTTTATGTATTGCTCTGTCCCTGGTGTCTCACAAATAATAGGCATTCCGTACTGAGCACGTTCATGAAAGTCAGACGCCATCAGCTGGTCACACCGTTGATGCCAGTTGGACATGAGCTCAGCGTAGCAGACTGTGACTCCAGCCTGTGAGCCTCGAAATGACCAAGCCCGTTGTGTCCTCCGCAGGCTGGGTCTCGGTTATCTCCAGGGCCCATTCTTAGCCCCCAGACTTCATACTTACTGAGCCATGTAATAAAAGCCTTCAGATATGTTACGAGTTAAATATGACTTTGTGGCCTGGCCTGGGATCTTGGCCATCTTTTATTATTGTTTGTGTAGGGGAATGGTTAAATATGCAGATTACAAGTTTTGGAACTATGGCCGTGTATGCGCTGGAGTCTTGTCTGTGTTAGAAACATAGTTATATATGTAACTTGTGAGGGTAGTGTCAGAGATTAGGTCTTTGAATGTTGTAGATCTAGGAGAGTTTTCTTCTGACTACTTAAAAAACTGATAGCACCGTACTGTGTACGGTTTGCTTTAACTGTTGGTGTATTTTTTTCCTAGTTTTCATATTTTTTTTGTTTCCTAATTTTTTCCTAGTTAAGTGTGAAGAACTTAAAAATACAAGTGTGGTACTCACAAATACAAAATGAGAATCAGATTTTTTTCCCATTTAGCTATAGCCTGACTGTAAAGAAAACTATAGCCTGACTATAAAAAAACTAAGCCGCGTCAGACCATCTCAGTAGCTGCTTTAGTGTGTCCTGTTGAAGAGGCTGATATGTGACTCGGAGCCCGACCCCCAGCAGGATGTGACCCAGACTCCTCTGAGGCTGGCCTTTATCAAGAGTGTTTGCAATCTGACTCTTACCAGAAAATGGGTGTTCGAACTTTCACTTCTCTTAAAGCTATACCGCAGCAAGTGTTTTCAGTTACAAAATGAAAAAAAGTGTTGGCAGTGCATGAAGGCTGATAGTGGGACAGAAGGCCTGGGAGTTAGAACCTGAAGACCCTGCCTTTGAGCTCTGGCTCTGGTACTGAGCGGCCTTGTGACCCTGAGCAAGTGACTCAGCCTCAGAGCCTCAGTGTTTTCATCTGTTACATGGAGACGGTAGTATTTCTTCTGCCTGCGGGGCTTAACGAGTTACCCTTCTGAGGAAGTAGGTTGTGTGACGCACAAGTAAGTGTATGGGGTCCGTTGGCAGAAATCCTGGTGTGAGTTTGAACCCCATCCCTTGTTGGCTTTGTGACTTTGTAAGTCATTTAAAATCATCCTTGGGACTCAGGCTTCTCCTGTGTGAACTGCAGAAACACTGTATACACTCCAGAGCACTCTGAGAACACTGGCCTTTATGATGGCACAGTAGATCTGATTGATTGGCAAATCCATGAATATAATTACATATTTTTTCAGGAGCTTTGGGCAAAAGGACACGGTTCCAGGAAAATTATGTGGCACAACTTATTCTGGATGTAAGAAGGGAAGGGGATGTACTTTCAGGTTCTGAATTCAGTCCAGCCCCAACTCCTCAGGAGCATTTAACCAAGGTGAGTAGGATCCTGAGTTACTTAAATTAGCACCTGAGTCTAACAGTTTCCGTAGGTGGGTTTCACAGAAACACGGGAGTGGGAAGAGGCATTTTGGCTCTTCTCTAGCTTTTCAAGGAGGCTGGGGGCTGCCCCATGATGCTTGTGCTTTTTTAACCCGTAAGTAGAGCTAAAAGGGTGTTGCTTTTCTCTGAGTACGAGTTAGGAAGTAATGCACTTAGTTGTGTGGTGCCCTCCTCCCCTCTTTGAAGAAATCCGAAAGGCAGGCTGAGGAGAGACTAATTTTTCAAGCTGCTACCTTACTCCTTGCCCTGCTTCTGCCTTCTGTGGATATTTTTGAACACTAAGATTTCAGATTTCTTGGGCTTTGAAATACATAAACAGACGATCAGAATTCCTTTTTACCAGTTTTCCAATTTGTCACGTGACTCTGTTACTGGGCCAGTTCCTGCCTGGGTATGTTCTTCATGAGGTGGCCAGCGCTTTTCTTCGGGTGACTTGAATTTATGGCTCTTGGTCAGTTCACCTACTTAGAGGCATTTCCCGCTGCTTCCCTGAGGCCATTAGCATTTGTATTTTCTTATCTCAGAGGCCCCAGTCCAACCTCTCTGGTTGTCCTGTGGTTGGTGTGACTGCCCTGAAGCCTGCGCCTTGCTGCTCTTCATTCTACAGCCTGCACACGGACTCACACTCCTGGCTACACTGAACGCCAAAATCCTACTTTTGTACTGAAATTAATGCCAAGGGTAGGGGCTAGACACCGAGCCTCAGTGAGAACCCAGGAAAGTTATTAGATTCTTAATTTCCTTATTTGTTAAAGGGCAAGATTAGCTCGGAAAGACACTCCACAAACGTGTTATTAATCATTGGAAATGCATAAGTAAGTTGATACACCCTTCTCGGGATGAAAAAAGGTAAGAGTTTGGGTATATTCTAGAGCTGACCAGTCCAGTTCGTAGTCATCAGCCACATGTGATTGTTAATTGCTTGAAAGTTGGTTGGTCCAAACTGAGATGTGGAAAAGCAGAAAAACACCAGATCTCATAGATTGTATACCAAAAAAGCATGCATAGAATCTAATCAGTAATTTGCTATGGATACATGCTACAAGGATAATACTTTTGATGTTTTATGTTAAATCATTTTATTTTTAAAAGTATTTTAAGTGTGACATTTAGAAAACTTAACATTACATATGTAGCTCCATTTTTTAAATTATGGGAAGGCCTGTGTTGCAAATGGACGGCCACCAGGGTGTGCTGTGCACCCACCTGCCCTGCCTTTGAAGGGTCTTGGTGAGGGAGGGAGCCGGTGCTTTCAGTGGAGATGGAGGAGCCGCCCACAGTTCTGTGTCCTTCCCATCAACAGTTGGAGGCTGCTGTACTGTTCCTTGCAACCTTGTAGATGGAGCTGGGCCCGTGGTTAGGGTGAACTGGAGGATAAACAAGGAAAGCTGTTCTTCTGGGCTGTGTTTGTGGGCAGGTGACCGTTTACCAGTTAAGGGATTGCCAGTGGAGAGGTCGACTTTAGGCCTAGACAGTTTTCAGACTTCGGAAATTGGAGGGTGGGTTTGGGGGGGTGGGTCTGCCCAGCTCCACTTAACTCCTGAAGTTTTAGCTACTTTTATTGAACTAGAAAAAAATTAAATTAAGTTCATTGAGGAAATACTTACATAAAATGTATCTATTTTAAATGTACAGTTTTGATGAGCTTCGGTAACTAGATAGACCTGTGTAACCACCACCATGATTGAAGTGCAGAGCCCTTTCCTTCAGGCCAAAGCCCACGCGCTCCTGCGACCACCCCCCTCGCGCTGGGGTGCCTTCTGTCATGGGCTGGACTTGTCCTTTCTGCAGTGGCACCTGAACAGAGTCCTAGAGTGTGACTCTCTCGTGCCTTTACTCAGTGCAGTGCCTGAGACCCACTGGCTGTCCGATAGCAGTCGCTGGCGCCTGCTTACTGCCAAGTTAGCAGCACAGGGTGCTTATTCATTCCCCATTGGGGGGCAGCTGGCTGCTTCTGGTCACTGGCTGTTATGAATAAAGCTGCTCGGAAGATTTGTGTGTAAGTCTGTGTGAACATGTATTTTTAATTCTCATGGGTAAATATCTGGGACTGGATTGGCTGGATTATGTGGTAAGTATATTTTTTAACTTGTTCAGAAACCACCAAACTGTTTTCCAAAGTGGTTGTACTATTTTACATTCTGACCATCAAAGTATGAGGGCAAACTGTTTTCTGTGGCGGTACCATTGTAAGAAATTTTCAACCCTGGCTGGTGTGGCTTAGTGGATTGAGCATTGGCCTGTTGTTCGAAGGGTCGCAAGTTCAATTCCCGGTCAGGGCACATGTCTGGGATGTGGGCCGGGTCCCCGGTTGGGGGTTTGCAAGAAGCAGTGAGTCCATGTTTATCCTGTACATCAATGTTTCTCTCCCTCTCTTTCTCCCTCCCTGCCTCCTCTCTAAAAATAAGTAAATAAATAAGTTAATAAATAAGTAAATAAATAAGTAGCCTTCTTTTAAAAACAAAGACATTTTCAGATCCTTGTCAACATATAAAATTGTCAGTATTTTAAATTTTATCCATTCTAATGTGTGTGTACACTACTGTAGTAGTTCATTCTGACTCTAGTTAGTATTTCCCTATGGACTGCTGTTGTCCATGATATTTTCCGTGTGCTCATTGGGTATTTGTGTATCTTCTTTTATGGAGTATCTATACAAATCTTTTGTCCATTTTTATGTTGGGTTATCCTCTTACTCCTGAGCTGTGAGAGTACCCTGTGTCCACACACAGCCCCCTTTTAGATACTTGTGAGTGCATTCTCTGAGTCTGTGGCTTGGCTTTTCATTTTCTTTATTCAAAGAGCAAAAGTTTTTAATTTGATGAAGTCCAACTTATTAAAGTTTTTCTGTGATAGTTCAGGTTCTTTTTGTGTCTGCCTACCCTGATGCTGCAAAACTTTTCTCCTAGGGTTTCTTTTAGACATTTTTTACTATTGCTTTCTACTTTAAAGTCTGTGATCAATTTTGGTTTAATTTTGTGTAGGGTCAAGATAGGGGTGAGGGTCATTTTTTTTCTGAGTGGATATGCAGTTGTTCCAGAATCATTTATTGACAACACTCTTCTTTGTTGACTCACCTGTGCACCTCTGTTGAAAGTCAACTGACCGTACAATGTAGATGTAATCTTTTGGACTCTGTTTTATTCCACTCAGCTGTATGTCTGTCTTCATTCCAGCACTGCACCGTTTTGGTTTTGTAGTGAATCTTAAAATCAAGTATTCTATCAAGTCCTCCAAGTCCTCAGATTTTTTTCTTTTCAAATTGTGTTGCTATTCCAGAGCCTGTTGAGAAACAGAGTTGGGAATAGATGTTTTAAGTTATAGTTTAGAGGCAGAGTAGGAAGATCTGTTTGTGGATCCTGGTGCATCAACCAGTAAACGGGCTTTTTCAAGGTAGACTCCAGCAATGATAGCTGCTCTTCTCTGTTACTGATGCTGTCAGTGCGCTCCTGAGGTACAGATGGCTTGCCCTCTATTTCTGCACAGAAAATTGCCCCATGTGCGTGTTTCAAGAGAAAGCCCATTCACCAAATGCAGACTGTCTTATAATCTTAAACAAAAAGGTTTATCCTTCCCTAGCAGTTAATTGCATACAGTCTGTTGAATGAATCAAATTTAATTTTTGGTCCAAACATTTTCTTTTGTATTCCACCAGAATCTTGAGCTGAACGATGATACTGTTCTAAATGAGGTGAAATTAGCAGACTGTGAACAGTTTCAGATGCCCGACCTGTGCGCCGAAGAGCTTGCTGTTATCCTTGGAATCTGGTAAGTTAATGACTTCCTTGGCTACACTGAGCACCGTGCGTGTTGGTTCTCTGTGCTGGGGAGATCTTCATTTAGGGGGTTCCAGAAGGTCTGGATGAAGAGGAAATCTTGTAATTCTTCTGAAGATTGAGAATAGTTGGGCAGCCAATTAAAAGGTTAGAGATTAGTCCCTGGTTGGATAGCTCAGTTGGTTAGAGCTTCGTCCCCATAGTGCCAAGGTTGTGGGTTTGATCCCCAGTCAGCGGCATAAAACAGTCAACCAATGAGTGCATGAATGAGTGGAACAACAAATTGACGTTCTCTCTCTCCCTTTCTCTCCCTCCTCCCCACTCCATTCCCTCCCTCCTCCTTTTATTTAATAGGAACCACACACAGAATTCTGTTTCTAAATCCAAATCAATTGTCCTATCACATTATTTCAATCCAGTGACAGAATGTATGCTTACTACTGAAAAATTATTTGTTCAATTTATAATGATATTTAGTGTATAAATAATATAAATAGCAAACATTTACAAGTAATATGTGCTAGGAATTATACCATGTACTTTTACATTTTCCCTCATTAATATTCTTTTTAAGTATATTTTATTGATTATGCTATTACAGTTGTCCCAGTTTTTTCCCCTTTGACCCCTCCACCCAGTTCTCTCCTCCCCTTCTGCAATATGACCCCACTTAGTTCACGACCATGGGTTATGCATGTAAGTTCTTTGGCTTCTCCATTGTCTACACTGTTCTTAACCTCTCCCTATCCTGTACCTACCCAGTAATGCTTCTAAAACCCTGTACTTTTCTTCCCATTCATCCCCTTCCTCCTCCTAGATGATAACCCTCCAGATGATCTCCATATCTATGATTCTGTTCCTGTTCTAATTGTTTGCTTAGTTTGTTTTTGTTTTTAGATTCAGTTGTTCATGGTTGTGAGTTTGTTGTCATTTTAATGTTTGTAGGTTTTTAAAATTTTAATTGTTGTTATTTGTTTATAGTTTTGATCTTCTTTTTCTCAGAAAGTTCTTTTAATATTTTGTGTAATAAGAGCTTAGTGATGATGAACTCCTTTAACTTTACTTTGTTTGGGAAGCACTTTATTTGCCATTCAATTTTAAATGATAGCTTTGCTGAAGTAATCTTGGATGTAGGTCCTTGCTTTTCATGACTTTAAATATTTCCTGCCAGTCCCCTCTTGTTTGCAAGGTTTCTTTTGAAAAATCAACTGACAGTCTTATGGGAACTCCTTTGTAGGCAACTGTCTCCTTTTCTCTTGTTGCTTTTAAGAGTCTCTTTTTATCTTTAACCTTTGGTATTTTAATTATGATGTGCCTTGGTGCAGAGCTCTTTGGGTCCAACCTGTTTGTGCCTCTCTGAGCTTCCTGGACTTGTATGTCTGTTTCCTTTGCCAGATTGGGGAAGTTTTCTTTTATTATTTTTTCAAATAAGTTTTTCAATTTCTTGCTCTTCCTCTTCTCCTTTTGGCGTCCCTGTGATTCAGATGTTGGCCCTTTTGGAGGTATTCCAGATCTTCTTAAACTCTCCTCATTTTTTTGAATTCTTGTTTCTTCATTTTTTTTCTGGTTGAATGTTTATTTCTTCCTTATGTTCCAAATCATGGATTTGAATTTTGGCTTCTTGCCTTTCACTGTTGGTTTCTTGTGGATTGTTCTTTATTTCCCTTAGTAGAGCCTTTTTTCCTTCCCTTATGCTTTTGAGATCTTTGAGCATTCTGACCACCAGTGTTTTGAACTCTACATCTCTGCAGAGGTTGGCTATCTCTGCATTACTCAGTTCTTTTTGGGGGGTTCTGTTCTGTTCCTTCATTTGGGCCATATTTCTTTGTCTCCTGATTTTGGCAGCCCCCCTGTGCGTGTGTACCAGGCAGAGCTGCTTTGATTCTGTTTTAGTGCCCCTGTTAGGTCATATGGGGTGGAGCCTTGGGTATTCACCAGGGTGGGACAACTGTGTATGGGGAGGTGCTTAAGAGAGGACAATACCACTGCTGGCTGATTTGTGGGTGCTTGCCTGATACTTGCCCCATTTCAAGCCACTTCATCCACTTCCCGTGTGCCACTGGCGCCCCTCCAGCTGCTGTACTGGTTGTGGTTCCCAGGGTGGGTAGGTGTGCATGTGTGCCAGGCTCTCTTGAGAAACAGCAGTTTCTTCCACTGCTCCAGTCTCCACTGGGTTTACTGCCACAAGTTATGAAGCTTTCTTTCTCTCCCAGCTCTAAAGTCCTGTGCTGCGTGGTCTGGCCTGGGGCCAGGCTCAGTCTCTCATAAGGTGTCTCCCTGATTTTTATCTGTCACACGTGAACATGGGGCTGCCCATTCTGCGGGTCACCACCGCCTCCCCACCTCTCTGCCTCTGGCTTGCCGCTACCACACCCTGACTCCTAGTCTCCACCCCTCCTACTATCTGGGTGAGTATAGATAGCTTCTTTAAATCCTTAGTTGTCAGACTTCTGTACAGTTCTGGGTATTTTCGTGTTTAAGTTAGTTGTGTTCCTTCTTATGGTTGTGCAGTGAGGCAGGACATGCCTATCTACATGTCTGTCTTGACTGGAAGCTCCCAATATTCTTTTTTTTTTTTTACGATTTTTAAAAATGTTATTCTATCACAGTTGTCCCAATTTTTCCCTGTTTACCCTCCTCCACTCATCCCACGCCCCAAACCCACAGCGAATTCCCACACTGCTGTCCATGTCCATGGGTCATTCGTACGTGTTCTTTAATTAGTCTCTTCCCTTTCTTCCCACCACTGTTCTCCTCCCGCTTCCCCTCTGTTTGCCCTCAGTCTTTTCCACGTTTCCATGCCTCTGGTTCTATTTTGTTCATTAGTTTATTTTGTTCATTAGATTCCTCTTGTAGGTGAGATCACACGGTATTTGTCTTTTACCTCCTGGCTTATTCACTTAGCATAATATTCTCCAGTTCCATCCATGCTGTCCCAAAAGGTAGGAGTTCCTTCTCTTTCTGATGTGCAGTATCCTACTGTGTAAAGGTACCACAGTTTTTTGATCCACTCATCTACTGATGGGCACTTAGGCTCTTTCCAGCACTTGGCTATTGTAAATTGTGCTGCCGTGAACATTGGGGTGCATAAGCTCTCAGGATTCTTAGGCTGTGGTCCTAGCAGTGGAGTCACTGGGTCAAAAGGCAGTTCCATTTTTAGTTTTTTGAGGAAATTCCATATTGTTTTCCACAGTGGCTGCACCGGTCTGCACTCCCACCAACAGTGCACTAGGGTTGTTTTTTCTTCACATCCTGGCCAGCACTTGTTTATCCCTCATTAATATTCTAACAACCATAAAGGGTGTTGTTTTTCTCCATTTTTCAGATGGGCAATCAGGGTTCCAATGGCTAAAGGACTTGCTCAGAATTACAAAGCAACAATTAGGGCTTGATTCTAGGATTTACTGACCCCAAATTCTGAGTTCCTTCTGCTATTTCTTAGACCATTATTGTGGCAAATTCATAATTGTAAACTCATTTCGGGAAATGAAATCACACCAAATATATTGGATATATCCCCAAGCATTCTATCAATTGAGCTTTAGGTATATTAAGTTGGGCTTCCCAGGGAAAGAGGACTAAAAAACCAAGAAAATGCTTGTTTCAGATACTGTTTTTCCCCCAAATATGGTCTTGGTAGAATCTCAGTATACAGAACAGTTAAAAGTGCTGATTGTATTTGATGGGCAATTTAAATCTTCATTGGTAGAAACTACTTATTATATTCTGAATATTGGAGGGTGTGATGCAGTTTATAATCCCCTGGGTTAGAACATCAATGATTTGATGATTTGCAATAACTGAGTTACCATAGGGATTGTAAGTAGTGATTTTGTTATACTACCTGATCTGTCTAATCCCTGAGGCCATTAATCCCTGTGGAGAGGTGACTTGGACATTGTGATAGGGTGGGTTGGTTTGGAAAGGAGATGCAGAGAAGGTGAATTCTTATAGGTTATAGGTGGTAGATTAGCGAAATAGTGGGCTAGCTTCTTGCCCCTTCCCTGGGCTCCTGCTTGAGTCTGATTTTACCTGAAGTTATACACTAGAACTTGCCCTATGTCTCTTATGTGTCGGCACACCCGATTGTTTTTATCTAAGGTAATTATGGGAGGAGTTCCTTAAAATACAGCAGTCCTTTAGTGATTAGGACTGCCAGAGTGGGTGATTCCTTTTTAATCAACAGTCTGATTGTTGGGTATATATAGTAAAATATTCTAAGTCTACCAGTAAATTATGGTAGAGTGGTAGCCTGATTCAATGACTATGTTATAATTATTTTTAATGAACCTGTAGCATTTCACTTTCATGCATTGAGTTAAGGATTGGGATTTTGTATCTGAGAGTTGAATGTTGGCCGGTTTTTTGCATGAGGTTGTTACCTTGGACAGACTTTTATGCTCTTGTTTGCTCATTAGAATTATGGAGTCTTAGAATTGAAAGGACCTTAGTTAGAGGTTAGTTGGATCCTCTTGCCAACTGAAACATAATTCCTTTGTGCAGTCAAACTTGAAATGTCTAAGTATGTGTGAGTGTATATTTATTGTATGTTTTAAGCAAAATGATTTCATAATTCTTCCCTGTTCATTTTTTTCTTACCAACAATAAAAATAAGTTCATTGAAAAATTATTATAGAAATAATTTACACTCATTATAAAATCCCCAAACAATATTGAAAAATATAAGGAAGTGGTACTGTTTTTGTGGAGTGGTATTTTCTTTTCATTCTTACTAGTATTTACATACAAAATCGTGTATATAGTATTAAATGTCAGTTTACGTATACAACTGGAGTGCAATAATAAAATGAATCCACTGCACAGTTTAAGAACTAGACGATCACAGACACCATTAGCCCAGCTTGTGTTTCCTGCTGGGCTCCCTCTCCCGCCTTTCCTTAGCTGCTGGCATGAGTTTTGTGTTTGTCATTTTCTTGCCTTTTCAAAAAAATATATTTACTCACGCTTTTTTACATCTCTGAAGCCAGTTGTGGCAAAAACAAATGAATGGGACTATATCAAACTAAAAAGCTTCTGCACAGCAAAAGAAACCTACAACAAAACAAAAATGCAACCGACTGAATGGTAGATAATATGCAAACAATAGCTTGGACAAAGTGTTAATATCCAAAAATATACAAATAACTCATAAAGTCAACTGCTTCATTTTGTTTCTTTTTTGAGATTTATAAAAATGGCATCTTACTCTATGTAGTCTTATGTGACTTGCTTTTTTCCACCATTGTGCACCTATGATTCATTCATAGTTTATTTTCTTTAAAAAAATTAAATTTATTGGGGTGACATTGGTTAATAAAATTACGTAGGTTTCTGGTGTACATTCTGATGCATCGTCTGTGTATTGTATTTCGTTCACCACCCAAAGTCAGGTCTCCTTCCATCACCTTTTATTCCCCCTTCACCCCTTTCTACCTCCCCCAGCCCCCGATTTATTCGTGTTTTATGTGTAGTTGCGGTTTACTTTCCAGTATAGCGTTCCCTTTGATGACTGTTTCACAAGTTATTAGTCTCCTTTGGACATTGGGGTATTAACAGATTTTTTCTATTACTTTCAATATTAATATGGATATTTGTGCTATGTTTGTTCAAGGATTTCTCTGGGCTCTAACACCTAAGATGGAATTACTGAGTTTAGGCCACATGAGTGTTCATTTTACAGTATAGTGCTAAATTGTTTTCCCAAATTACGCTACCAAATCATACTTGGATCAGCATGATCTAAGAATTCCCATTGTTCTGCCTCTTAGGCAAAAATTAGGAAGTTGCCAAATTGTTACTGTAATATTTTCACTTTTTGGCATGAGTTTAATAAATGGGAGTTGATACCATATTAATAATTTTCATTTTCTTTGTGGATTGGATTTTTTTCCTAGTAAAATAAATTATGTTGACATTTAATACACCAAACACATTTTGTCAGCATTTTATTACTTTCTCTACTTATCTTTGGCAAACTACTATCTACATTTGTATATAATATAGTAATATTAAAATATGTGCTTTCAAACATATGAAATAAGTATACTTTGCCTTTCAAAAATTATATTTTATTAGCCCTGGCTGGTGTGACTCAGTGAATTGGGCATCAGCCTGCAAATCAAGAGGTTGCTGGTTCTATTCCTAGTCACGGCACATGCCTGAGTTGTGGGCCAGGTCCCTGGATGCGGGTGTGTGAGAGGCAATGAGTTGATGTATCTCTCACATATCAATGTTTCTCTCCCTCCCTTCTCATCTCTTTAAAAATAAATAAATTCTTTAAACAATTATATTTCATCAGGTATAACATGGATTTTAGAAGTAATTTATATGTATATTTTTTATTTAAAGCACCAATTTGCAGAAGAATAATCCAGTGCATAAGTTAACCGAAGAGGAGCTGCTGGCATTTACTTCGGTGAGTAATGTCTTCTTTCTTTCCATTTTCACTTCCTTTCTTACAGATTATTTTGCCTCTGGTATATTCTTGCCTCAGATTGCTCACGTTGAAACACTGCTGCTGAAGGAGATTAAGGGAACAAAAAAATCGGCACCTATCTTGCTGCTGATTTGAACATAAGTATTTTTTTGTGCTTGCGTAGATTTGAGGGAAGTGACCAAATGTTTCTTGTTCATTGTTTGTTCCCAGAGCGTCGCACAGAACAGGTGCTCAGTAAAGGTTCAGGATTAAACGAAGACACAGAGCAGAAGTTTGAACCTTCACTCCACAGCCACTCTAGTGCACAGCCCTTCTGTAAGACCGAGGGTGATGCCTACGTGGGTGTGACGAGTAGAGAACTTCAGGGTGCGAGGGGAGCACAGGTTATGGAGGCTGGGGACGGAGGTGGTGCCGAGAGCATGAGGGACAGCATGGAGCAGGCCGGGGAAGGGTTTCAACGGTCAGCAGTGTGCTACTCACCTGTAAGGACAGTTTGGGTGGAATATCTGGGTGGTCATTCCTGAGAATTAAGGAGGGAATGGGCCATGAGAAAATGAAGTTGACAAAGAACACAGTTGGAGAGAATGGCACTGAAAAGGGGAGGGAGAGTAATAGATGTCTGAGGATTTGAGATCAAAGAAAGCTTTCCAGAGAGAGAAAAGTCACAGATCAAGGGTCAGTCAGTGTCTTTCCAGCCCGTCTTCGATGAACGCGAGTTGCTTAAGATACATCATTTCTTTCAAAGGCATTTTTATACCGTGGTTGGGACTCAAGTTAGAATTCTGATGTTTTATTCCTTTGTTTTTCTTTCAGATAAGGCAAAAATAAAGTACTTTTATCTGATAGAAAGACAAGCTCGCTTACTTTGTACGGTAATATAAATGTTGCAAGTTGATGTTTTCTTCATGTCATTTTGGAGCTGATTGGACATTAATCCTTCAGGTCCTGTGGGTGCCGTTTTTATTTTTCCACTTCTTAGAAACCTTTGGTTTATCGTGATAGCACGTCTGTGTTTAGGTTTTATGTAAAAATGTCCTTATTTATTCATTACATATGCTATCAGGAATTTGACAAGTAACATGGTACAAACTTTTAAAAAAAGATGTATTAAACATTATTATGTACTCCCCATTTATTTATGCAGCTAGTATTTATTGAATACTTAATATGTATCGGGGATTGTGCTGGTTATTGGGGAGATGGCAGGAAATAGTCTTTCCCTCTCGGAGTTTTTACATCAGTGCACATCCTTGTGGAGGAGCACACGGCAGACAAAGAGGGAAATACAGAGAAGTGAGCAGGAGAATGGAACACAGGGTAGGGAGTAAGAATGGGCGGGGACGACTGACCATGTTAGGCCAGGTGGCGGGGAAGAGCTCAGTGGGAAGGTGCCGCTGACCTCAGGTGTGCAAGAGGTGGGGCACAGGGGAGGAGGCAGGGCTCGGGGAGGGTGGGGAGCTTGAGTCGGTGTGGGGACGTCCAGAGCTGGATGGGGGCAAGTGTTTAGAAGACAGATGGTGGCCAGGACACTTGGGTTTCTTCTGATGACCGCGGTGAACGGGATGTAGCCTAAGGCAGGAAGTGTTCTTGCTGGCCTCTCCTGGGGAGGACGGTCCATAGCTGCATCCTCCTGGGTCAGGTCTCATAAGTAGTTCATTGTGTACTTATTTACCACAGTCATCCCGAAAAGACACTAGCGTACTCTGCTCACGTTCAAACAGGTAATTTTTTTTTAGCCTTTCTTATGGAAGAGGTTATATTTCTTCTTTTTAAACCTTTCTTTTTCTACTTCCTTTCTCATGCTTTTCCTCTTTTTAAATTTCTTTTCCCATTCTTGTTCCTCTAAATTGGGAAGTCCTTCTGAAGAAACTAACTCCTGTAACTTCTGGTGTCGGTTAACTTATCCCTCCTGGCTTGCAGTGAAGATCATAAATTCACATTTCATGCCTTCCCTCCCAGGGTTTCATAAAACATAATTTTTTTTGCTTTTTCTCCTCCTCCAGCTCTTTCCCAAATCAGAACTGACCTGAGGCTGACCTCTTTGGAGGAAAGCTGTTCGCTGACAGTGCTTCATAGCGCTAGGCTGAACTCTTCCAAAGAGATGAGTTTGTTGCCCCGAGTAGTCTTTGACTGGTACGAAGTGGGGCAAGGAGCTTATGTGTGAGGAAGGTTTCTAGTAGCCCATGCCTACTTTGGGCCCTATACCACCCCATTCTTCTTTTAATACTAAAGGAAGCATACAGAATATACTAGAACGCCCCAAATCAGCCCTCGTCAACTCTTCCTTTGATCTGTCAGTCCTTCTTCTAACCAGGGGTGTCCAACCTTTTGGTGTCCCTGGGAGAAGAAGAGTAGTCTTGGGCCACACATTACATACACAAACACTAACGAAAACTGATGAGCAAAAAAAAGGGTTTTAAGTAAATTTACAATTTTGCGTTGGGCCGCATTCATAGCCTACCTGGGCTGCATGTGGTCCGTGGACCGCGTGTTGGACACTTTGTACGTGATACTGAACTGGGTAATATGAGTTAGAAGTTGCTCCTGGTTTTAATGAAGAATTGCATTGAAGTTTATATCTTGTGTAACTATATATCCTATATATAAATATTCTTTATTTGTAGCCCATTATTTATAACTCCAAGAGTATTTGAGGCAAGAGGAACACTTTTAGGTGCTGCCCCACTTTTGAATTCTTGAACTTTGTATGTGTTTCTCTTTTAACAAGAATCATATTGGGGCTTAGGTATAACTATTTATGTATGTGTCTTATCTGCCCCATAAGACCATAAACTCCCAGTTTTAGGGAATGAGCTCTGTTCTTCTCTGGGTCTTCTACAAGGCCTGGTACAATGCTTCAATACGTTACTAATACTTGCTGTTTAATAAGTGTATGCAGACTAAGAGAAGGAATGAAATGCAGGGTGGGACAAAAGTGGGTTTGCAGTTGTTCGTGTGGAATATAATACAACAATGAATAGATAACAGTACAAGAATAAACTCTGTTTTGCATACTTATATTGTAAACCTACTTTTGCCCCACCCTGTATACAAAATCCTGCAACAGAATTTACTTCTGTCCTACAGCTTCATGCTGCATTACTCCACTTAGTTCCAGACTTTAGGTGCGCTACTTGAACCTACTGACTCCCTAGTGTGCCCGGACCTAGTGGTAAGGATGACCACTTGTTTCATTTTTCGCTTCTGTGAAATGGGGGAAGGACTGACGTTCTCCTCCTGGAGCACTGTTTTGAGGATCAAATTGCAGAATGGGTGTGAAAGTGCTTCCAGAAGGTAGAGGCCAGTTCAGCCACAGCATTCAGCGATGAGCCAGGCCATCTGGTCACTGGTTTGTAAGGGAGTGTTTCTGTTGAAAGGAATAGAACTTTTTAAGTGGGCAAGACCTGTTTGGAATTGGCTGTAGAAGTGGGAGAGGAGCGATCAGAGAGGAAAGCAGCAGCACACCGTTTCTCACTGGGCATCCTTTCCCTGCTCTGCAGCAGAGTGGGTGGCCGGGACGGGGGCTCTGAGCTCCTGAGATTGTGAGGTGTCTCCCTTTGCTGACAGAAGAGCAAACAGAGCAGACGTCTCAATACTCTCACCAGAGAATGTGAGCTTTGCAGGGATAGGACCTTGGTTATTGGACATTTGGTAAATATTTATTGAGTAAACAAGCGAGTGGCTTATTGGTCCTGAATTTCATTCACTTTTATGCACTGTCCTAAAGTTTATTAAAATAATGGTATCTTTTTTTTTATTTTGGAGACATTTTGCCAGTGTTTTCATATTAGTGCAGCATTTTGAAATATATGTGAAATGTTTAGGGAAAATGTTTTTATTCAGCAAGGTTAGAAGCTCGTCCTAAAAGGAATACTTTATTTTTCTTTAAGTTGTCGCTGTGGAGTGCTATTCCTGAGATATTATATCCGCATGTTTCAGGAAAACTGAATGACTCATTGTAAAAATAGCCCATACTGTTTTAGAGAGCTCTTACGTTGTGTCGCCTTGATAATTTAAAATTAGCTATGTTATCTACGTTATTTCCTTTCAGAATAGCCAAGTCAGTGACATTCAAGTAATGCTTTTAATTTCCTTTCATTGTTGAAAATGAGAACAGTTTTGTTAATTCAGACAGGTGTTTCAGTTTTAATTGGCACAGGTTTTGCTTAAGTGTGAATTGACATTGGCAACCCGCCTTCTGACTGTCTGTCTGCCCGAATCCCCAAGGTCTCCGTAAAGGAAAAAAGGGGAAAGACTTTGGAAGTTACACATTATATTGTATGTATTTTCTCTCTCTGCTGTTAAATCTAAAGCTATTTAATAACTGCTTATTTATGAGCATAAAATAGTTTGCTAACCACTCTTACAGATTAAAATGATCATCTATTTTTCTTCCAGACCATGCTCATTTCCTACTTTTAATTTTTAAAGATAGGCAGTATAACTTCACTTTTAAACGATTTTATTTATCTTTTAAAGGGAGGGTGAAAGACAGGGAGAGAAACATTGTTGTGAGAGAGTAACATCGACCAGTTGCCTCTTGTATGTGCCCTATCTGGGGACAGGACCTGCAACCCAGGCGAGTGCCCTGACCGGGAATCGAACCCACAACCTTTTCCTTTGCGGGGCGATGCCCAACCAGCTGAGCCACAGTGGTCAGGGCAGTGGTATAACTTGGTGAGATAGACACAATACTTCTGATTGTGTTAGCATTACATGATGACATGTTCTAGAATATATTAAGCTAGATAGGTCAGAATTTTGAATTTCTTTGTGGTTTGAATACTTGTTTCCCAAAATGTTACTCTGTGCATTTTAATTTAATGGGCATTCGTTAGTAATGAACCTTGTAGTTATCTCTGGGTTATAACTTGCAAACCTTTAAAAAAGCAGGTGATGGGTGTATTTTATTTCTTATATCAGTTTGTAGGTTAACTGTTACTAAGCAGAAGCTTAATACATATTTTTTGATGAGTTGA